AAGAAGGTATGTTATAAAATGAATCACGTTTAAGAACTATTATATCATTAAAATATGCTCTTGAAATTTTATGTGCTCCTGATGGAATGACAGATGATGATATTCATGTTGTAAATCCAAGATATGATAAATATTAGGTATCTCAATTAAAAGTTCCATTATTAAAATATATTTATTATACTTATTTAGAAAGTGAGAAGATAGCTGAAGAAACCTTCAAATGTATTAATGATATATAAGATTATGTAAATGCAGAAAAGATTCGAATAGAGAAATTCACAAAATTGCCATTAAGTGAATAATTTTAAGAATACTTTTTTACATATTTTTTTATGGCAATTAATGGATTTTTACGATTATATCAAAAAGAATAAAATGATTAGAATCTTGTTCATTAAAATTAAGCTTAAGTACATTAAGAAATAGAAAATTTATTTGGTTCTGTTAAAAAATTGAGAGATTTAGTAGAGAATCATGAAGATTTAAATTCTTTGAAATTGAGTTAATAATAATTGGATTTAAGATTGTATTTCTTATGTGACAATATAGTAGAAGAGGAAATATTATAAAAGTAGAAAAAAGAAGAAGAGGAGAAATAATAAGCTTAAAAATTAGAAGAATAAATGTTAGAAGAAAAAAGAAAGAATAAAAAGAAATAAAAGACATTTAATCTTGGATTAAATTTGATTAATATTGAATTTAATAAATAAAAAAATAAACCAGCAGATTTTAGAACTGATGATGCTTGGAAATAATTATGGCAAATATTTATGTAAACATTTTTAAATTCAAAAGAATTGTTAGAAGAAATCAAAAAAGAATAAAAAATATTCTCTGAAGCTTTAGAAAAAGTTGAAAGTATTTATTCTAAAGATCCATTAATATAAGATCATATTAATAAAACAGAAATATTTAAAAAATTGATTACTTTTTTGAGTAAAGGACACAATTAACCTGGTTGTGAATCTACAATAAAATAAGTATTAAGAGCATTAAGCAATTATATTATTATCTCAGAAGATACAGAAACAACTGAATAAGATGAAGAGAAATAAGCAGAAATGAGATAATAGGTTAGAGAAGACAGATAGAATTTTCTTAATAATAATAATGCTATGGCCACTATTCTAGTTATTTTATCAGATTACAAAGACATCAATCGATATAATCTATTATATAATAATTTATTGAGTTTTGGTATTGAAATGATGGAAGGAGGTAATAGAGAAGTATAAAAATCTGTATACAATTTCTTTGTTAATTTTACTTCTTCTGAAGTGTTCTTTTTAAGATTACATGAAAGATTTGAAGATTAAAAGGCAGAATTGAAAAAAGAAGATGAAGATGAGGATGATGTTAAATATAATTTTTAAGATGAACCTGAGGAAACATAAAACACTTTGAGATTCTTATAATTATTAGTTGAAGGTCACTATACAGAATTATAAAATTATATGAGATTCTAATAAATGAATTATCATACATATGATTTATTTACTGATGTTGTTGAGTTATTAGGAGAATATCTAAATGTTAAGAAAACTAAATATTTTTATTGTATGATCTAATGTTTTGACACAATTACTGAATATGTTTAAGGTCCTTGTTTTGAAAATCAATAAGCTTTATTTTAAGCTAACTTTTTAGATATGGCAACTAATTTATTAGGATTTGATGAAAGAATTGAAGAAATTAATTTAAGATAAAAAAAGAAAACCTTAGATGAATCTTAATTAGATCCAAACACTGAGAGAAAAAAAAATGAGGTATTTCCAAGATGGATGTATGCAAGATTGAAATATAAATGTTCAATTACTCTTCTATCTTTATTGGAAGGTAGAAAATCTAATGATGTTATTATTAGATTGGCAAAATCATTTAATTTAGAAATGTTGAAGGTCAATATTATAGATATCTATGATATGTATAAGAGTCTATATTAAGATCATTATACAGCTGAAATATTCTCTCATTTTTCAATTGAACCATAAGCAGAAAGTAAAGAAACAGAAGAAGGTAAAAAGAGTGCAGAAATGGCTAGTTTTATTATTGAAACTGGATTCAATTTGTTTGTTCTTTATTCAACATTTCTTGAAGTCAAAGATCCCACAGATGGAGGTGGTTAAAAAGAAGGTGAGAAAGGAGATGATATTATGGAGTAATTCAAGGCTAATATTGTAGGTGAGGTTGTGTTTTTAGCAATTAATATAGTGAAAGGAGTAAAAGATTTCTTTTTAAGTTTTGCTGAGAAATTGAATTAGGCTGTTAGAAGAGATAATAATGAAATAGATTATGATTAATTAAAGAAATAAATTTAAGATAGTAGAAGTAAATTATTCAAGGAAAGTATTAAATTCTTTTCTAATAATTCTGCTCATATTGAAGTATTAAGAGAAGATAAGATGCTTGAAAAAACTTATTTTTATTTACTTCCTTATTGCAAAAGTCTTGATAAACCTACAAAAACATAATTTAATTAAGAAGCTAAAAGAATCTCTGTAAAAGCCAAAGTAACATCCTTATTACAAGAATCACCTGATTTAATAAAGAAAATGAAATTAACATATTAAATTTAATCTTATTTGAATAAGATTAAGGTTTTAGCTTTAATTGTTTCAAAAATTCAATTGTATAGAGATATTACATTTATTTTGGCATTGACTATCAATGTAATGATTTTATTTGTTTTCCATAAAGAAGTTAAGTAATGTGATCCAACATCTGATCCTTCTGAATATTAAGCTTGTTTGGATGATTATGTTTATGAAGAAGATTTATAGGAACAAGATTTATAATTATAGGGTGTTATACAAACATTAGGAATAATTGTAATTGTTTTATCAATGTTAATTGTGTTATTCTTTTTAGCATAGACTGCACCCTTAATCATAAAGAAAGCATGGATGGGATGGGAAAATGATAACTTTAACATTATTATGTATATTAGAAGACTATTGATGACAGTAGTCTATTTAGTAACAGACTTTTATGTACTATATTATTTAAGTTATGGATTTACAGCATTTTTAGGAACACTTTATCATCCATTCTTTTTTGCATTTCATCTTTTTGATGTTTTAGTGAGATATCCTGTGTTATTGAATGTGGTAAAAGCAGTTTGGGAACCTAGAAAGTCAATTCTATTCACACTATTTCTATTTATTGTACTTATGTATGTATTTTCATTGGTGGCTTATTATTGGTTATATGAAAGTTATCCTCCAAACTTTTGTTATAGCACTTTCTAATGTTTATTGACAGCAGTTGATAGATCATTTAAATCTGATGGTGGATTGGGAGGATTCTTAACTCCATCAACAGATGTTAAACCTAATGATGATGGATATTTCTTCCTTAGATTCTTTTTCGATAATATTTATTTCATATTATTGATGATCATTATGATTAATATAGTATCTGGTATTATTATTGATACATTTGGTACTTTGAGAGAAGAATTGAATGTTTATTAGTTGGATCTATAGAATATTTGTTTCATTTGTGGATTCGATAAGGAAACCATTGAAAAATCTAGTAAAAATTAATTGGGATTCACCTATCATATTAAATAGGAACATTATATGTGGAATTATTTGTTTTATATTGCTTATTTGAAAGATAAGGATTCTACTGAATATAGTGGTATTGAGAGTTATGTGATGGATAAAATAAAGAATGAAGACACGTCATGGTTCCCAACGTTTAAGTAATAATATTTTTGATTAATAGAGCTTTATGCATGAATGATGACTAAGAAGGTTAAGAATAAGGTCAAATGATGAATGAGTTGAAATAAATATAGGATGACTAAGAGAGATTACAAGAATTGTTGGATAACATCAATTAATAGTTGGAAAAGATAGAGGAAGATTAGAAATAAAATCAATGATTTTTTTAACGAATATTAATTAAAATTATTATGATCACTGGAGGAGTATTTATATAGAGTCTACATGAAATCAAGGAGAATTTTCCACAATTACAACACTTGAATTATAGTCATAAAAAGTCATTTAAATAAAGTTTAGACTAAATAACTTAGAAGATTCCAATTATAAAATCTATTCATAAACTTAGATAGGAATAAGAGTAGAAAATATATCAAAATATATAAAAAATAAGGAGGATGAATTTAATGCATGAGATAAATAAAGTAAATCCTAAATTACATCATGAATTAAAATTGATTCCTTCTGAATTACTCACTATTAAATATGGTATGATATTTAATTTATATTTTTAAGTCGAATTTAAATAGTAATAAAATGATAATCATAATGAATTATTATCAGATATTAGTTATAATAGATATTAATAATAACTATTAGATAGAATTGAATCTGGATAAAAAATATTTCATTAAAAATCTTATATCAGAAATATTATGGATGCTTATGATGAAGATAATAGCAATTATAGTGATTCTTATATCAATAAATATTTAGATCTAAATTGAATTATAATTTATTTTAATTTATTAATTAATTAATTTCAATTTTATAATTATGAGAACTAAGTTTCATACTCTTTCAATTCCCACAAAAACTAGTATCTGGTAATCTGAGATTTCAGATGAATAAAAATGCAAACAATAAAATAATACATATTCCAGATCCAAATTGGATGATTTCACATTTGAAAAATTTGATCGCATCAAAACAACTTCTGATCTTAAAATGTCTTAAATGATTAAACACAAACATAAACTTGCTTTACCTACTAATATTGCTTGGATGTATACTTATAAATCATAATCAAAATTACATAAACAATCTTTTATGAATGAATATCTTAAATCTATTATTTAAGAAATTAAATTAAAGCCTAATTTAGAATAATTAACCTATCCAAGAAATCCATACATCAATCACAAAGATTATATTAATGAAAAATATCTTTAAAGAAAGAAATTATTTCAAAATCCGCGACAATTTACTTAAACATTAAAATGATTTTTTTACTATAAATCTTTTGATTATATATGTATGTCATTATTTATCATGAATTCTGAAATATATCTAGTTAAGTAAAATCAACTATTCTGGCATTCTAAACTTTTATCCACTAATCCTGTAACATTACAAATTCGTTCTGGAATTCTTAATACTAATTGGGAAAAACCTGATAATCTATAAATTGAACTCAAAAAATATAATACACTTTAAGAAGGAATCTTAGATATAGGTGAAATGCTTAAACTAAAACTTAGACAAGGATATCATGAAATTAAACCTTCAGAAATTGTCAAAACTTATGAATAAATTAGTTTTCCTGAAGCTGAATATAAATATGAATTAGATTTGAAATACAAACAATTTCAATAATAAAAAGGTGAAATTGATGATAAATAACTTACTAAAAAAGAATAAATTGTATAAAAAATTGAAAGAAAATAAAAATTAAGATAACCAGGATTAGGATTACCAGATAAATCATGTTCTGAACTTTTAGATGATGCTACTTAAGGTAGATTAATCTCAGTATGGCCAAAATATAAAATGAGACCCAATCTTGGAGAAAATTTAGGACTTGGTCCTACTTTTTCAAAAAGTCAAAGAATATCATGTTTATTAGCTTCTAATTGGGCTGTATCAATAGATCCAAAAGGCTATTATATGAGTGAAAAATTAGATGGAATGAGAATGATTTGGACAGGAATGGAGATGTTTACTAGAAATGGATATTCATTAAAGTTTCCATCCTATTTTATAGAAGGTTGGCCAACAACTTATTTAGATGGAGAATTATGGATAAATAGAGGAACATTTAACAAAGTCTTAACATCAGTTAGAAAAAGAACAGCAGATCCAAATGCTTGGAAGATAATCAAATATATGGTATTTGATGCTCCATTTCTTTAAGAACCATTTAGTGATAGATATGCAAAATTAAAGAAAGCTATTGAAAAAATAAAAAATCCTCATCTTGTTTATGTTCCTCATAAAATTTGTAAAGGGTAAGAACATTTAGCAGAAGAACTTGCAGAAGTTTAGAATAATGGTGGTGAAGGTTTAATGTTAAGAGATCCTGATTCTTTATATGATGGAACTAGATCAAAAAGTTTATTAAAAGTTAAATCATCTTTGGATGCAGAGGCTGTAATCATAGATTATATAGAGGACACTCATATGAAGAAAGATGATGTTTTAGGAGGGTTTTTAGTTCGTAATGAAGAAGGATTAGAATTTGAAGTAGGTTTGGGATTGAAGATTGGGATTAAAAAACAAAGACCTCCAATAGGTACAAAAATAACATATAAATATTGTGGATTAGCAGAAAATGGTTATCCTAAATTTCCAGAATTTGTAAGATAATATCCATAAGATATTTGAATCAATCTTATTTTTTAAAATATAGTGTATATTTATTTATTACTTAAATCTTTTTCAATCTATTAAATACTAGTAATCTTATCTTTTAGATTTTATAAATTCTTAATTAATTATTTAAATAATTTATTAAAATGAATAATATTTATATACTTATAATTTATTCTTTATATTTTTATTAAAAAAATTATTAGATTAAATCTAAAATATATGAGGTATTATTATTATTATATTAAATCATCATAGATCCTAACAAATTATTTAATAGGATTTAGCTATTACTCCACATAATCCTATCACAGAATTATCAAAACTCCTCTTTTTAATAATAATTACAAATGTACATTTACTAATTTATTTAACTCATTTGGTGTTTTAATGCACCATAATGCAATTAATAATATATTATTACTGTTTTGATGCTATGGTGATGATATTTCTTATGATTATGAAAATAAAGTAAATTTTAACCATTAACTTTAGATTTAAAATAGATGTAGGAAATTCAACATTTGATATTCTTTTTTCAACTATTATTCAAACTATAATTCTTATTCATTTTAGATTTAAAGAATTAGAAATCCAATTTCTAGGGTATGTTGTATTAGCCTACTACTTATTAAGATTTTTTGTTATGGTGTTTCAAAAAATTATACTTAATGTTTCTATGAATCGTTTTATTATTGTATATATTTAATTTAAAAATAGTATATTCAAGGATTTAAAGTATTATTTGCACTATAATTAATGTTAGTTACTATTAAATGGAAGAATATGGTTGATTGGAATTGGTTTGTAATATTTAGTGTGATTTGGAGTTTACTGGTTATATTTTTTATTTTCCATCTCATTCTAATTCTTTCAATAATTGAATTAGCACATGATTATTAAATATAGAAAGCCACGAAATCTTAACTTATTGGAGGTGTATGGTTGATTTTATATTTTTGTGGTTTTAGTGGAATTCCCTCATGGTTTTGTTACATAATTTGTAAAAATTAAGAAATAGTTGATTATCCAACAAAATAAGCTAGTCTTATACTTAGCATTTTAATTATTGTATAAACTTTTTTAGTTTTTATACTCTCTATAGTTTTTAGACATCATATTAAGTATAAAGTTATAATAAAATTTAGAATTTACATTCAGGATATTGGTTTTGAAGAAGATATTCAATAATAAAATATTAAGGAATCAAAATAATAATCAAATATAATATCAAAACCTACTTTACCATAAAAATTATTCTAAGTATCTACAACCTATTTTGAATATTTCAAATAAGCTTCTTAACATCCCTAATAAAATTAAAACATTACAAATAGTATCATAAATTAAAGAGTTAAATTGAAAGCTTTTGAATTTGTTATGAGAAGTGGTGATTAAATGCATTCTCCTGAAAAAGAGTCAAACTAAGTGTAAAATGAATAGAAATGTTAAGTTTGTTTTAATTAAGAATCATAAATAGTTATGCTTCCTTGTAGACATGGAGGAATTTGTAATGATTGTTTAAGATAATGGTTATAAAAGTCACCAAACTGCTATATTTGTCGTTAAGTATTTTAATTTAAATAATAATTAAGAAAATCAATTAAATATGCAAGGTTCATAAAGATGAATCTGGAAACTTTACTATTAAAGATATTATTACAGTCTGTTAAAAGTGAAACTATATTCATTTAAAAATACTATATTAATTAATTAAATATATATGTTAATTTTTATGATTAATTGAATTAACAAATATATTATTAAACAATTTATAGCAATAATATTCATGATTCTTTTTTCAATCTTAAAATTCTTTTAATCATGTTTACAGTGATTACTGTAATAATCATAGATAAACCTAAACATAAAAATCCAAATGCCATTTGCTTTTTAGAAATCGAACCTTATAATTTTGACATGTAATCAAATTTTTCTATCAAGAATGATCTTTCTCTTTTTATATCATCAAGCTAAGTATTCAATTTTTTAATGATTCCTCCCATTTAATTTAAATCTGAAATTTTAGCTACTTTTCCCATGTTAGCCAACTCTGATCCAGTTTTATATGTAATATTAAACATGATGAAGTCATTCTCAAAATTGGTTAAACAGTATCTAACATGAGCAGTTGCAGAAGTTGATTAGTATTAATAATTGTGCTCCCAAGATCCTTTTCTATCATACAAACTATCAATTGATTGAGAGTTAGCCTCAGCAATCTTCACACCATAATTTGATGAATTAGCACTTATTCTTATGTCAAATACATCTTCTTTTGAAAAATTATCAGTAAAGCAGATTTATTATCCCTTCTCTGCCTCATACCCAAATTACAAACAATAGGCAGAGTTTATTACTAATACAAGCAATATCATATATTTATTATTCAATTTGTTAAAATAATATTCAATATCAAGAGCCCTTTTATTTTGATAATTTAAATATATATATTCATAATTAGAGTTATTCTGATGCCATTTCTTCAACCAATTATTCAAATATTATATCTCCAAGTTCCATTAAAAATTCAGTCCTATCATCTTCAAATAAGTACCATCGGAATTCACTTTCTTTTATCTAAAATCAAATAAAATATTTACATCTTAAATGAGCATTTTATATAATCTTTCATCTCTAATCTAAGCTATGTTATCAAACATTTGCTGAGACAATTATGAATCAAACAACAAAGGATTTTCTAATTAATGTAATTATTGAATCATCATCTATTAATTCTTTTCATCTAAAATTTCTTATTTTTCTTCTGCTATTTACGAATCATCCTCTACAGGCAAGAATCCTCCAAGAGTACCAGACCAATTAATCACTTTGTTTTCCATATTTTTCAGAATACTATCTAAGTCTTCATTTTAAATAACTAATTTATCTTATTTATTTTCCCATGGATATGGAAAACCAGAGTCTAATTTTTAAAATTACTTTTTTACTTAAAAAGTTTGGCCTTTCATAATTCAAAGCCTCATTACATGCATCAAATATAGCTTTGTTATGAATATGTTCTAACTCTTTCATTCCAAATTAAATATTATCATTAGGTTCATTCTCTAATTATAATCTATAAGATTCGAATTCTTAAAATAATCTCTCGTCTAAAGGAAATGCAATTTAAGTATCATCTTCATTCTAATGAAATTCATCTTCTATTTCTTCACCATCATTGTCATATCCATGTATAAGTTGCATTCTTTTAAAAGGAGTGAATCCATATGGTATATTAAGATTTCTTATTAATTCCTCTTTGTAATGCTCTAATACATATTCAAATAACTATTTAATATAAGTTTTAATATCTTTGATGGAAGTAGGCAATTAAGGAATTACAGATTAACTAATTAAATTTGAGATTATAAATTCGAAATGATCTTTATTATGTAATAATTCTAAAATAAAATAAAATTTCTATTACCTTCTGTCAAATTTTGCACTATTTCATCTAAGATATCATTTGTTATTGCACTTAATGTCTAATAGGTTTCTATTTACTTATCAGATTCTATAATATTTTGTCTCATTAAGTTCCTCTGATCTTAATTATCATTTTACAAATCCTCAGAATATGTTTCTGGCATTTCATCCAGATCATCATGCTATTCAACATCAAAGTGATTAATAATCTTGATATCTGATCCTATTTATTTTTGGGATTTAATAGTACTACTTTAACAAAGTTATTCATCAACTTACTTTTTTAAACTTTACAATTTTGGATTATTTTCATCATATGTCTACACTATTTATAAATCCCTTTGTATTTTTTAAATTGCTTTAGCTTCTCTTTTTCTACTAATCTCTATAGCTTGTTTTGTATTTCTCAAATCCTCCTTTTCTTTTTCTAACCAATTCTCTAATTCTTATTACTTTATTGGATCATCTTATATTTTTTTCTGTTCTGCCTTATACCTCAAGTTAATAGCTTCATCTCTCATATTTAATAACTCAGTTTCCTTCTTCATTAATTGTGATTATAGTGACATTAATGAAGATCGATTGATATCATTCTCCTTTGAAGATAACTATAATCTTTCATCACTATATTCTTGAGTCTTTTATAATCTTTTGCGAGCATCATTAAATGTTTTTTCATTATTAGCTTCCAATTAACTTCTAATTCTCATATCCACTGATTATTCAGAATCCCTTCTTTCATGTGTCTTTGCTTCTTTTTATTTTTTCATATGTTATGATACAATATTTAAAATTGTTTATGACATTTATTATTTTACATTAGCAAATGCTTACTTTTCTGGGCCTTATTTAATAATATTTTCAATCTAACTATTCCATAATTCTAATTCTTATTAAATTTACTAAATTACAGAATGAGATAATGCACTTTTTTAATCTTCCTCACTTACAACAGAACTTTTGATATTTGAGTAATGAATTTGTTTTTCTAATGATTATTGAACATTTTATCCAAAAGGATTATAGAAATACATTTCCTAATTAGCAGGACTATTTGGTTGCTAAATGATTACTAAATCATCTGTTTAATCAGATAAGTTTTTTTCAAATTTATTTTTGATTTAAACTGGTAAATCTTTTAATTATTATTACTATTATTATTACTATTATTATTACTATTATTATTACTATTATTATTGGTCTTATTATTATTATTATTATTATTATTATTATTATTATTATTATTATTATTATTACTATTATTATTATTACAATTACTATTAAAATTTCTATTATTATTATTTTTATTATTATTATTGTTACTATTAAATTTTCTATAATTACTACTATTACTATTATAATTATTACTATTACAATTATTATTATTATTAATACTATTACTATTATTATTATTAAGATTTTATTTTGTTTTATTATTTAGCAATTTCCTCTTGATTTATGAAATTTTGTGCTTAGAATTTTTTCAATTATTATTATTATTCTTTTATTTAATACTGCTATTAACTAGTAATTTAATCTTGCTTTAATTAAGGTGATTCATATCTTAACTGTTACTCTTCATCAGAATCTTAATCTTGATCTGAAGCATCATTCTCATGTTATTATTCTAACATTTCTTACAATTCATGAAGTAATTACATTCTGATAGAGTAACCTCTCCAAACACTTTATAACTTAGTTGCAGCCTCATTCATAAAATGATACTACAACACTATATAATCTTGGTTAGTGAGTTCATTTGGATCCAAATCATTTTATGATTTTAGTATTTCTTGTATTTTATCCAACAAGAATTAAGTTGGGGGTATTTTAGATAAAGTATCAACTATCATCTAAGTGAATTAATTTTCACTAATCTAAGAATATTAATCTTCCTATTCTTCATCCTCTATTTCTTCAATGTATTAATCATTTCCTTCTTAATTTTGTTCAGGGTTTTTAAGTTATTGATATCTATAATTAAGATTTTCATATTATTTTTTTAATTAGTCTTTATTATGGTTGTTTTTGGATTCTTACTTAGCTCTATTTTCTTTAAATTTTGGCTACTATTTCCTTTATTCAATATCTATTGGTATCTCTTATCTCTTTTTCTTCATTGTCACTTTTGGAGTTTGTGGTTGTGAGTTCTCCAAGGTTTTACACTTTTTGAAAATCTCTTTAACAGACTCATTCAACTTGGCCAGATTCTCCAATCTTGTTAATTGGATTGCCTTACTTTCTTTATTTTTCCAATAGAGATAACAATTATTATTGCATGCTAGATGTATTGTCAATAGCTTTCTTTTGTGTCATATAATGTTAAATCTCATGATTTGGTTGGTAGTTTTTCTTCTTCAATAATGGTTCCACTGTTTTTGTCTTTGATTTGATTTTTTCTAATTAAATTTGAATAATACTTATTCGTTGTTTGATTTATTTTTCATTAAGTTAACCCAAGCCTAATTCTTCTCTTCTTTATTTTTATGATGGTTTAATGATTTTTGGTTGCTTTTTTGCATCAACTGTATGAGCTTTCTTTTTTTTTGGAGAAACAGTTCGCTTAGTTTATTTTTTGACAGACATTGATTATTATGCAGGTTTCTTAATCTATTGAGTCTATGGTTTTGGTTTGCCTTACTATCCTTAGGTTAACTTTTTCTTTTTTTATGTTTTAGATGGCTCTACTGTTTTCAAATTGACAAAATTATCCAAATGTGATTCAGGAGAGTGATATTTTGGAGTTTGCTAATGTCTTTGATGCATTACTGCAATATTCGGCTCTTACATTCTTCTTCCCTGAATTTAAGAGTCGAAGGATCTAAATATATTAAACGGTCATACTTAACAGAGCTGTATGTGTTCATATTGTATTATTTGAAAATTATACTAAAAATTATATTAAATTATACTAATCCTATATAATTAAATAAATAACAAATATATGTTTACCACCATTAATTATTAAGTGTGTAAAATTAATGGTTTATTCTCATTGTAAAACCATATTTAGTATTGAAATATAATTTCTGCTTTATTATACTATTAATTAGAAATAAAAGACTCAAAAATTATGATTAAATTAGTATATATATATATTAATATTAATGTCATATATTGGTATAAATACATCTGGAGGAATAAATCCTTGCATCACATTTTATGAGAGAATGTAAAGTTGTATCAATCGAGAGAATCTACCAAACAAGCTATGTGCTATTGAAGGATTAGATTTTTTAGAGTGTGTAAATCGTAGGAAATAGGTATAATTACATAATATTTCAAGTATGCTCTTAATTATAAAATTCAATAGGAATTGCATAAGAATAGAATTTTAGTATTACCAACATATGATGTTGAAAATGATAGATTTGTATCAAAATATTAAAATGCAACAGAAGTATTTTAATAAGCACATTGAAAAATATTTATCAGCAAATAATAATATAAATAATTAATAATTCATTATTTCAATTTGAACTAAATCTATTACTTTATTTAGAATTCTATTATCCTTTAGTTTTACTTTTTTTTTTAATTATTTGTACTCTATTTAAGATAAAATTAGATTAATTTAAATTTTATATTTTGTATTATTTTGTATTCTTGTATATATTTTTTTGATAATTTCAATATATAAAAAGTATAATCTTGAATTTAATTTACATTTTATTATAATTTTCCTTTTTATGTATATATATCTTTGCACTAATTAAATAGATAGAATTGATTTTACTAGCTATAGCTATATGATATTTAAAATATAAAGCTATGCTTATTTCAGTAATAAATGTTATATATCTTAAATACTTCCATATATCTTCTTCTAAATACATATATAATTCTGATAGAACTAGGTATATTAATTTAATAATTACTTTTGATGATGTTAAACTTTCTATTATTTGGTTTATAATATTGGATTATTTTATTTTTTTATAAAATAATTAATTGATATTAAGTTGGAATATGAGATCTTAATATTTAATTAAGTAAATTGATATGGTTAGTTTAAAATAAATATATGATTAAAGTTGCAATCTCTTTAATAATACTCAATAAAAAATGAATATTATTTTAATTAGAATATGAATACAATATATTTGCCTAAAAGAGTTTAGTTACTATAAAGTCCAAAAACCAATAATGAGTCGTAACTTCAAACCACTCGATCAGTTATAGTATTTAATTTTTCATCAAGCCTCAGTCCGCTAATTAAGATGTCCCTAAAATTATAGTAAGATGTGATGATTAAGATGGAGTACCAAAAGACATGAGACTGAAAAATTGGAATGATGTTTTTGGTGATTTTTTATCAGAAACTTTATTACGCAAAAAATAAACTGATTTGAAAAGAAATACTATAGCTACAATAGATAGAGCATATCTCCATGAAGTGCCATTAAAAATTTAAAATACTCTTTTAAACAGTCCTTCTATTAGAAGCAATTTTACTAAATTTATTTTGGGGGAAATCTCTGCTTAAGAGTTTGTTATAAGAAAAAATCAGTACTAAAAATTAGATAAATTAATTCCTTCAGGTAATTAGAAACAAAAAAGACCAAAAATTAATTTGTATATTATCTAATTAAATTATTAAGATCTTATAGGAGATCAGCTGTTACAGATGGTGGTAATCATGAAATTGGATTTTTAAAATTATTAAATGAAAAAAATGAAGAAGAAAATAAAAAATAAAAAGCTCATTAAAGATTTGAGATGATAAGAAATATTATAGTTGAGAAAATAGAGAAACGAGAAGAAGAAGATTTAGTAAAGAGAAGTAGAGAATTAAAAAATGTTGGAATGATAAAATAAATGTATGATATAAGTGACATTTATATACAAGAGTTATAAAAGAATACTATGGAAAAAGATATTCCACTTACTAAAAGACATGTTTTTAAAGGAAATTCTGTAAATATTATTTAACATCAAAATCCATATTAATTGGAAAAGGCAAGAAGTCATGAAAATCCAAATAAAATTAAATATGAAGTATTGCCAGAAAAGAATGTAATTCGTCATTTGGTTGATAAAAGAGCAAAAGAATACATGGAAGAATTATAATTAAAGGATTATATTGAAAATGAAAAAGCGAAAAAGAGAATTTATATAAATTTATAATATAAATAGAATGCTTAAATAAAAAAGAAAAACTAGTTTTCATCTCCTATTTCATCTGATTAAAGTGAATAAAAAATTAAACCAGTTTATCCATTCATTTAGAAAGAATTTAAAAATAAATAGATAATTAAAAATAAATTGATAAATAATGATTTAGAACTCATCAAGTATATAACAAATTATCCAAAATATGATCCCTTTAATGATAAAGATTTTTAAGAGACAATATCAAAGGAATTGTTGTAAGCAGGAGGACTTGCTTCAGAAAAGAAAATCAGAATATTGAAAAAACCTTATTTAAAAAAAGGAAACCCAAAAAATGTAATAACTTAATAAATGGTTGGAAACACATTTGATTCTAGAACTGAAAATGATGAATCTTTCAACTCTATGTATGAATTTAACGTTGATACATTATATGATTAAAGTATTAAATTATAGAAGAAACTACTTGAAAAACAATATACTGATGGATTTAGCAAAACAATCAGAGCTATTTAGAAAAGTTAATAACTAAAAAAGTATTGATTTTATAAATTATCTTAGTGAAATAATTCAGAAGAACTTATAAAAATTAGAAGGCATACCACTTAAATGATTTTAGCTTAATTCAATTATATGATTTAAACGAATACATAATGATTTTAATCTTAATTTAATTTATAAATTTCTTTACTCACTACAATAATCTTTGAAATGACTTTTTTATTATTAATATTTTAACCTAATTTGATAAAGTATAAACAACATCTTATACAATTCTTAAGAAAATAATATTTTAGTTTGTAAATGAATTAAAATAATAGGGAATAAACAATCGTAAAGTTATAAGGACATCTAAAAGGAGCTACAATAACTGTTCATGGTATTTAGTATAAGTTATAAATAAGAAATTGAAGAACTACTTTTGAGCCAAGAACATATTATATGGATGTAATAAAAGGAAATTGATGACTTAAAAAAAAGGTTAAAATAACTGGAAAGCCTAGATATTTAGAATGAATAGATATTACATTTTTAAAACATTAATGTTTAGTTGAAAACCTAGATTGAATTCTTGAAAAGTCAAATATAAGAGAAAGATGCATTAATTGCTTAATTTACACTTAAACCTCTATCAGGTCCATCAACAGAGATGCTAGCTGCTTAATAACAACTCATTCAATAAAATCTAGTTCTATAAAATATAATTGGGGATCTCTAAAACTAAATTCTTAATAAAGATGGAGTCATAAGTCAATTAAAAACTTAAGAAAGTTCATTAGATCATTTAATAGGTCAATTATCAGCTAATATTCAAATAAAACGAAGCTAAGTTGGATCAGCTGAAAAGCAAAAGGATATTTAAAATGCCTTAAACGAATTATAAACTTATCCAGAAGCTTTATAAGAAGTAGTTTAAAGAATTATATAAGAATACAAAAGAATATCATTTTTGATTGATGAAAAAGAAATAGAAATTAATAATTTGAGGGCTAGATTGTAAATGTAACAATAAAAGGCAAATGACTCAATACAAGAAATAATAAAAAGAAATCCATCATCTTTTGAAGAGAGTAGAGCAAACGAATTAATTTAATAGAATGCAACAATGGAAGATGCAATTAGTGATTTAGAAAGGAGATTGATTTCATAAGAAAATCGTAAGAAAGAGCTTCAATAAAAATTAATTGAAATAGGAACAGATATATTATAATTAGAAGAATAGAATAATAAAAATAATTAATTTAATGTTTTAGATGAATTTAATAAAACAGAATTTAGACAATCTTAATAATAACCAAATTTAGCTGAAATGACATTTTAATAATAAACAAAAGATTAAACATTTTAACTTTAATGTGTTCCAACTGAATAATAAATAGATGAATTAGTAAGTTAAAATTAACAATAAGATGATTTAATTGTAGAATTATAAAGAAAATTAGTAGAAAAATAAGATCAATAAGAAGAAATTTAATTAGAAATAGATAAAATAGATGTTATCTCATTAATGTAAGAGTTACAGAAGTTGAACTAACAATGTGATAAATTAAAAAAAGACATAGAAGAAAAAGACAATTAGCTTAAGCTTTTAGAAAAATAGAATATGGAACTATCAAATGTATCAAATGAATTAAAATAATCAATTAAAATTAAATAAGAATAAATTGATAAACTCTATTAAGAAGAATAAGAGAAATTAAATCTTTAGGATGCTCTTTAAAAACATATTGAATATTAAAGAGATATTTAATAGAAATAATAATAAATTGATGAATTAAAATTATAAAAAGAGAATGTGGAAAATGAATTGAAAAATGTAGTTACTTAAATGGATGATAAAAATATTAAGGTAGAAAAATGGAATTAATTATAGAATGATTAATATCAAAAAGCACAAATAGCAGATGATTTAGTGTAATAAATTTTAGAATTAGATGAATTAATATAAAATTTGGAAGTGAAACTTGAAGAAAAAAAAGATAGTTAATCATAATTTGAAAAAGAATTAAAAGATATCAATTCAAAATTATAAACAATCCAAGAATCTATTTAAATAGCCAAAACACAAAGAATCTAATTAGAAAATGAATTCAATTAATAAAAATTATGTGGAGAAAAATTGATGGATAATATACAAGAATTATTGGTTGATATTAAGAATAATGAAATAAAATTAGAAAAATTATAATTATAAGAAAAAGAATAACAAAATATTATTAAAGAATTATAGTTTAATATTGAAAAATTAACTGAAGAAGAAAATCAATTAAGATAATATAAGGAGAATTGTAATATTCAAAATGATTAAATTTAAATATTAGAAAAAAATATTGAAGAAAATAAAAAAAATATATTCAATTTAAAAGTTGAAAATAATTTATTATAACAGTCAATGGATGAAATTGAGCAAGAGCATTAAAAATTATTAAGTAAGAAATTAAATATTGAAAATGAAATTTCATAATAATAAATAATTACGAATAATCTAGCATAACATTTAGAAACCTTATTCACAGATATAAAAAGTCAAGAAATTTTAAAATAAGAAAAAGAATAACAATTAAAATAGTTAAAAACATAAATTGATTCTATTATTATTGAAGATTAGGTAGCATTATTATAGGAGAAATTGGAAAGTTAGAGAGAATAAAATGCATTGATTGAGGAGATTGAAAGATTAAAATATAGATTTGAAAATATTAAATAGCAATAATAAAATATTGAATTATTGATAGAAAATTAGATGAATTTAAATTAAGAACTTTCTGAAGATTTATTAAAATTTAAATTAATTGGTAATCAATTAGAAAGTGAATTACATTCTCTAACAGCATAATAAGAAGAAATGAAATATTAAATTAAAGAGAAGAGTTCTTAATTGGAAAATTTAAATGAACAATTTACAAAAATAGATGAAGAAGGATAAATGATGGAAGCTGTATTATCATTAAAACAAAAAGAATTAAAATAGATTTAACAAAAAAAAGAAAATTTTACAAAAGAATTAGATTAAATTACTTAAGAAATATTTGATTTAAAGAAAGAGATAGCACTCAGAAGAAAATATTAATAATAATAGAATAAAGTTGATTTGAATTAAAATGAAGATGATATTGAAGATGAAATATAAGGTAAATTAAATGTATTAAATACAAAAAATAATGATTTGAAAGATGATTTATAAAAATTAGTAGAATTGAGTCCTATTCCATAAGAATAAAAGTTAAATGATGTTTCTGCATAAATTAGCTAATTTAATGATTAATAAGCTCAAAAAATATTAAAAGATAGAGATAAACGAATTGAAATCTTAGAATTGACAATACAAACATTATAATAATAAAATCATGAAAAAAACAGTATGATGCCATCATTAGTTTCCAAAATTACTTAATAATAGAGTTTCTTTTTCGAGGATGATCCAATTTTAGGAGAATTATCAGAAAAATTTACAAAAGAAAGTTAATTATTGTTAGATTTATAAAACAAGTTAAGAAAAACAGCAGAAAGACATTACGATTTATCAGTTAAATTGTAAGAATGGGCTGAAAAAGAAAATAGATTGGCTAATGAATTGAATACAAGAACTTAATGTGTTGAAAAGATTGAATAAGAATTATAAAAGGTATTTGATAAATAATCTGATTTAGAATCAGATTAAGTTAACATTCTATAGAGAATATATTAACTAGAAACTGAGAATTAAGAGTTATTAGAATCAGAAGCTAATACAAAAAATAAATTGAAGGAAAAAAAAGATTATATATAGGTATTATATAAAAATTTGGTTGAAATGGATTAAAAATTATTGTAACTAAGAAATAGAATGGCTTTGTATTCATAAGAGGGTAGATAATTGGCAGAATTAGTAGGAAACTAAGAAAATGAAAGGGAAAATTAAATGAGTAATTTACAAACCATTAAAGAAGAATTAGAATAAATAGAATTGGAGAAAAAAGAGAAACTATTATTAATTTAATCAATAAAAAAAGAAATATAGAATGATACTCAAGAAAAAGAAAAACTTGAATTAGAATTTATTACTTTACATAGTAAGAATTCACAACTTAAAGCTTAAATTGGATTCGAAGAAGCTGTGTATTAAAAATTGTTATAAGAATTTGAAATAATGAAAAAGAAAGATTAGATTAAATATAAAAATCTTTACAAGGATGGATGCACTTAAATTGAATATGAACAAGATTAATTTGAAAGTTTAATTAATGAAATGTAGTTCTCAAAAATAACCAAAGAAGAAGTATTATTTTTAAAATAAAATTGTTAATAAAAGCTTAATTTGTTAACTTAAAATGATGGAAATCAATAATATTTTAATAATAATCAAATATTAAAAAAGATTTTGCATTTATAATAATTACTAATAAAATGCTAAGAAAATGAAAATAAGATTTTGATTGAACATAATTCAAACAGATCTTCAGTATTAGGTTTCAGAGTTCTTGATGAAAATGCTTAAAACTAAACATTTACTTTAGAATAAGTATGATACTTTATATTTTATAGATTGATTAATTCTAATATAAAACAACAATTGTGGAAATTCACCTTAACGATTAATGTTTGATTATTGAGAGTACTAATAATAAAGAATAGTAAAATTTATATCATTTTATAGAAAACATTTATAATAATAAAAGATGGCTAGATAATGGATTTTAGATAAACATTTTGATTCCAACAATGATTTATATCCTTTAGGCATTTTGCACATTGTTTTCAAAGTAGTAATTTAACATAAGTTTTATAGGTATCAATTTATCAAGTGATTAATATTGCATTAACTGGAACAAAGGTTTTATAATTATATTAATTATTATTATGATAAATAATATATATTGTTTAATTTTATAAATGAGATTAGATTAATTATAATAATTCAAATGTCAAAATTGAAGTCTCCTATAGGCTAAATTAAATATGGCAGATTTTAGGGATTATTCGTAGACATTTTACTCATATTTGGTATTATGACATCTTCATCTTGAGTTTTTAGAGAATCCGCTAACATCATATCGTGGAATCTTTAAAAATCCATTTTATCTTAGCTATTTAATCTGATTTCATTAAACATAGTATCCACTTTCACTGTAGATAATTATTTACCTCTTCTCTCAAAAGCTCGTCTAACATCAAGACTTGTAATATAGTTTTTGTTATCTATATCAAATTATTTAAATAAACCCCATAATCTCTCTTCATTCAAATATTGTTATTAATTTAATAAGGCCATCATAAATTCAGAATAATGGATAGTCAAATCACCATATGAATAACTATCTTTTTTATTTTACAATTTCAATTTTTTAATTAATTCTGATATCTCTTTTTCAGTATCATTAAAACCTAATTTTTTCATGATTTAAGTCATTTCTTTGACTGAAATTGTACCACTATTGTCTTTATCAAATTCTTCAAATTATTACCTAAGAGATTATATTTGAGTTTCATTAAGTTAATTTAATAAAATATTAAGAGTTTCTTTCTTTAGTTTTGATATGTTCCCATAAGTTTTAAGTAATTAAATGGCTTTCTCATTTTCTTACTCATTATTAGGAATAGATTCCATTCTACTTGGAGGTCCAGAGACATAACTTTAAATCCATGAACTAGACAAAGCTTGAGCACATGTTATACGTTTTTTTGGATTTTTATCAAGCAACCTCATAACTAGCATTTTGGCATCTTTAGAGATATTTTGCCAAGAATTCTCATTGAACTAAATTTCTTTATTTTAAATCTTATCCTCTAGTACCTTAAGATTGTTACTAAAGAAAGGTGGCTCACCACTTAGTAAAACATACATGATACATCCCAATGACCATTCATCACAGGTTTAAGAATACTTTCCTTACAATACTTCAGGTGCAACATATATTGGAGTTCCAACTTTAGTTTAAGTTCTTACTTAGGATCTACCTTGATTTGAGGATTAAGGTGGAGGGTATTTCTTACTTAAACCAAAATCAATTATTCTGATGTCAAAGTCATCATCAGGAGAAGCTAACATGAGATTCTCAGGCTTTAGATCTCTATGGGTGACTCCTTATTAGTGCATATAATGAACTGCTGAGAATAGCTGCTTCATCAAAATTGAGCATTTCCTTTCTGAAAAAACTCCCTTTCTCACTATTCTCTCAAATAACTCTCTTCCTCTGCAATATTCCATTACAAAATGATAGTATCTCATATCCTCATAAGTTTCATAGACTCTGATGATATTTGGGTGATCTAATTGTACAAGTATCTCTAATTCCCTTTGAATCAGATGCAATCTTTAACCAATACGACGCTATACTAATTTTTGAGTTTACTTTATCGATTGATTTCACTGCATAACATTTTGATTAAAGACCATTTCTTTCTTATTCCAAACTGAAAGCAAGCTTAACAGTTCCAAATGATCCACTACCTAATATTTAAGTGAAACGATAAAACTGGTGTATGTTCAGTTTAGAAAACCTTCTAATTACAGATAGTTTTGATTCTTGTGGACGTAATTTACTTTTACAAATTCCCATTAAAATTTATAATATAATATTGCTCGATTTATTCAAATAAATATTCAATTGAAAATAATAATTACTATTTAAAAAATGAATCTTAAATATATTTAAATAGAGATTAATCAAAATTAAACATGGACTCTGATATTTCTATTTAATTAAATATTTTATAATGTTTGTATACAATATAAATACATACTCTAATTTTGATTATTTAAACAAACATTTACTCTTAATTTCCAATTATAAATACCCTTTTATTTATTAACATATATATACTTTTTTGAGTTATTTTATGATAACAACTTGATTTTTATAAATAAACAAAGAGTAGTAATTTTGTATATATATTGAAATTCTTAAAATAATATTAATAAATCACTCAATATTGATAATTTATAAAATCATTTAATATTTCTAATATAATTTAAAAATATTTAATCCTTTTTATTTGCTTATCTAAACTTTTTCTCTTCTGTAGTACTACTTAAACTACTTAAAAAGGAATCTCTCAAAGAATTGGAACTTTATAAAGAAAATACTAGGTCCTTATTTGTTTAAAACTCTTCAGGAATTGAAACATTTAAATTTTGTTTTTATTCAATAAATTAAGTTTTTTATGGTTTTTTAAATTTAATTGTCCTTTTTTTACTTGAAGTGCTTGAAAAACTCATATTGATAAGATTAACTAAACTATTTCTCATAGAACTAACATCTTATTCTTTATCTAATTCATCAACCATCAAAATTCGTTTGTTATCATTTGTTAATATTTTAGTGTCTTCTTTATTTGTCTTGAGAATCTTGAATTACTCATTTTAACCTTAATCTAATTGTTTAAGTTTTAAAGAAGATTCCATTGATTTTTTCCTTGCTAATGATAAATTATCAGATTAAGTTTTATTTCCCAAGTTAGCTTAACCAAATGTAACAGACTTAGACAAATTTGAATATTTTTTAATTATATCTTATACTTTTTTATTGGGACTAGTTAATTTTTGCATATTTTCTAATTCCGATAAGTTGTCATTAGAGGATTTATTTTGATAAATAGGTCTAACAAAATCTTGTAAACTAACTGACATCATTTCGTTTTTCTTGTCATTATACTTTCTTTCTGGTGTGAATTCTACACTATTTGATAATATTGGTGTGCGTTGATTTTTAACATCTTATGATTCTATCTATTAAGGTTTGGTTGGTGAATTAGGTTCCATATAAACTTCCTCAACATTTTTATTATCTGTTTCTTTTAATTATTCTTAGTTAGAGGAGACAATTGTTTGAGATGAATCAATAGATACTTCAACAAATTCATCTTTTTTTGGTGATATTTAAACATTGAATTTTTCAGGTGATTTTCTAGGTTCATATTAATATTCATCAGATTAAGTATTCTATACATTTTCTTCATATTTATCTGGACTTTCAAATTCAGGTGGTTCATCTCCAGAAATGCTGGCAATATTAGGTTAATTATTTTTCACTTTATTAAATAGACATTAAGCATTAGCATTATTTAATTGTTGATCATTACCATTATGTATTATAGGTTCTGATGAGACAGGGATATTTTATGTACTACTTGGTTAAGATGATCCTAATTAAACAGAATTCTTTTAGAATGTGATATTGAATATTGGACTTGCTCTTCTCCATTAATCATTAAGTAATATGACTTCTTCTATGGATTTTAATTGTTTATAATATTTAGCTAGAGATCCATCAATAACTAATTTATCATTTAATTCTTTTTAAAACCATGTTAAATGATTGGCTAACAAATATATATAACCTGGTATATTATTTTTAGAGGATATATTTTCTGAAATTATTGTATAAATATTGATATCTTCAATGATTACTTTACACCAAAAAGGATGAAAATCACTAATTGCTCTATTGAGAATGTATAATAATAATTTCTCAAAGATTGAGTGAAAAATATCAGAATTTTTATATTTAAAGTAGATTTAGACAATTTGATTGAATAACTTTAATTAATTCATTTATTTCCATAATTTTATATTAGAAATTCTTGTTAAATTATCAAAGATTTCCAGTAATTTAAGTCTTAGGGTTCTGAGTCTTTTATTATCATTTTCTAAGATTTGATTAAATGATTCTACAAATAGGTTCATTTCTTGAGTAAAAGTTTTCATAAAGTCAGTTTATTCAAAATCAAGAGTTAATTATTGATGATAAGCAATTTCTGGATTTTCATCAATAACTTTTTTAGTTATATTATCTTCATAAATATTTATATTTTGCATTTAATAAGAATAATAGTTGGAAATTAATGATAATATATGAGCTGAACTTTTAGCAAAGAATAATTTATCATGATTTTCTCTTAAACATTTAAACATTTACTGAATAATTTATTTACTTACAATGAATTTTACAAGTTTATGACATAAATCATTTGAAAAATATCTGGTCATTATTTCATGAATTAAATAAGTAAAATTAAGTACACTCATTTCTTCCATTACATCAAAACCACGAAATCCTAATTCAAGTACTTCCAATTTTTTATCCTCATTATTACCATTTTCAGGATTAAATAACTGAATAAGTATACTATTAACAGTGGCTGATTCAAGATGATTCAAAAATAATTTGAGTAAATCAAATTTAAATATAGTTTAACAAACTAATTTAGGTTCTTTAGATAAGATAAGAGCAAATAATCTTTATATGTTTGACCATTAAGGTTCGTGGATTTGATCTGGAGTTTTTTGTAATACATCAAAGAGAGTTTTAATGGCGGTCTAAGAAGTATAAGAATTAATATTATACTTCTTAGAGAATCATTTAAGTTAAGGGTGGAAGATCAAGTTCAAAAAATTCAATTGATAAAATTGGAAATATGACAACATGATCATGATTTGTTTCTGTAACATGGTCTATTTATTATACTATTAAATCTAAGAGTTATGTTGCAATGCTTTTTTAATGTACTCTAATGAAGTCTATCACTTTTGGATTGAGATTTTTAGCTTATATGAAAAATTCATCTTCTGCCAATAGTGGTATGATATTTGTTGGATTAATATGGTATTCATCCATCATGGTTTCCATAGGATGTTTAATAGATGTATTGGTCATTCCATTTAACCACAATAACATTTGATAAAATAAAAATATTAATCATAATTATTCCACTTTGCTAGTATCAACTATTCTAAATCTAAATAGAAAAATTAAAAACTCTCTTCCAATAATCCATATAATTATGAAAACTGAAAAATATTAAAGCCATGCTAATTTCATTATTGCTAACAAACTAACCCATCTTTGAATTATTTATAATTTATTATTGTCTAAATTGATACTAATTCTTAATTGTTTTTCAGAATTGCCTCCTATTTTTCTACTAATATATCTAGGACGAATTTAATATGTTCTTGTATAAATCTATTAAAGCATTTCACTCATCCATTGACTATTTAGATGATTATCAACTAAGATTTCTGAATAATAATTAATATCAAAATTGCTATCATAATAAATTCAAAAATATACCTTGATGGCAATGGTTCTTATTGATAAAATTAAATCTCTCCCATTATTTATAATTATGATAATCCTTAACCATTGATTATTTCAGTTTCTTAAAAATATAAATAACAATCAAATTGGAAATGTAAACTTGCAAAATAACATTTTAAAGGTAATAATATTGTAATCTATTTTATTTTATCTGCTTCTGTGAATAATTACATATCAAAATTAAGCTATTCAGGAATATTGTCTGCATTTATGTCATCCATCAATGCCTATTAGATTATTAATAATAATTTACTGATATTTTTGATCCTTGCAATGACATATATTAATATGATAGTAATTATTCAGAGCCTTCTATATTTTGATATTTTTGATTTGTAAAATGGTACACTTCATCATCTGATGTAATGATATTTACGAAATGAAATCCCTCATATTCTATGTCCAATTATTCTTCTAATGTGGATACCATGATCCAGAAGTCTTATTAGTCAGTTGAATACTTTCAGAAGCAAAAACTAGTACAAATGGTATCACTATTATACCAAAGTATACTAATATGCAAGTGCATGTTGGAATGGATATCAATTTGCTGGTGTATGTAATTTCAAATTTTTCTCTTGATAAAGTAAACATATATTAATCATTATTATTCATAAATAAACTAATCCAATTAGATGAAATCGTTCTCTATCAAGTCTTCGATATCTTCATTCATTGTGTATATTCTTATACTATTTAATTGGACCAGATAGTTACACAATTACAAAGAAATATCTTCCAATTATTATTGTCCATCCACTTTGATTTACTTTATTATTATTTCTCTCTTTTAAGGATCAGTCACATTTGTCTATTCCACTTTACTATAATCAACTTAATATTGTTAAAATAAGAAATTTGAACAATATGGTTAATACAAAAATGGAGTAATTGGTACTCCTATTCCCTAATTCTCTTATATCTTAATTCCAAAATAATCATAAATAAAAATCCATTAATGTAAGAAAAATTCATCTTATTACATGAAAGAAATCATTTCTACTAATTTAAGTGCTGCAAGTACTAAATTTTAATTTGATTGTTTATTTTTAAAAATACTAATTAATAAAGTAAGAAGTGTTGGCCACATATTTCTAAATAGTTCATTTAATTAAATTGGTGATAATCTCAAAATAAGAATTCTTACACAAAATAATATAAGCATAACAAGTCCAGGATTGGCAGAATCTGATTTAATAACTTCTGAAATCTTTTCAATTAACAAATCTAATTTCTTTGTATAACGATCTCTTTCTCCACTAAATATAAGAAAACAAATTCTTTCAAATGTCTTAATTCTTCTTTTATTTTCTTCACTCTCTCTACTAAAGAAAAATGAAGATTATTGAGCAACCTACTCCAAATACTAAGTGAATAAATCACTTCTTCCATATTATACAACCCAATTAATAATCTTAGTCCAATACTTTAAAGTCTGTTTAGATTATATAAAAAAGTCCTCTTTGTTGAAAATGTTTAATATTGAATCTTTATAAACTTTTAATAAGACTTATCTTGCTTTGTCTAATTGAAAATATAACATTTCTGAAATGATTTAAACATAAATCTAATTATATTGACCTCTATTTTCTAAAAGTGGATATAGAATATCCATCATTTCCTTACATCTCAAAACAACTCTTTCTGTCTTTTCAACAGCATATGAATTTTAGAGCAATTCTAAAGCCACATTTTTAAGTGTTTTTATACACATTAATCTATATTTTGTCTAAATAAAATCTTCAGTTACACTACTAAGTTAACTAAATATTAGTTTTTCTATATCAGTAACTTCATATTGAAGTTCTTTATTCAGTGATTTTATAACATTCAAATAAATATCATAAAGAGTTGGAGTTAAAGGAGTAACTACTTTAAATTTGATAGAATATTATTGATACAAATCATCTCCTTCAGGTTTTTAACCTGGATCATTCCAAAAGATATTTAATTTTCCTCCAAATTAAGCCACATATTTTAATTTATCATTTATAAATTCATGATGTTAATTTCTAAATCTTTAATCTCCAATTATTTCTTTTGGTGAATATTTACGAGTTAATAGTAATTACAATTCCAATAACCACATATTTGTACTTGGAGATTTAGATAAAGCAAGTATCTATAGAATTTTCATTGTTTATACCCAAAATGGAAGAAGATTTTCTTTTTTTAATTAATGTGAGTCTATTTAAACAAAAGTGAAATAACAATATAAAAAGTATAGAATATTTGTTTCTTGTTAAGATATCTAAAAATTTAGCATTGTGGTTGTTAATTTCTTTCTTCTATATATATCATAATATTTTTGCAACTCTTATAATTATTATGATTCCAATAGACTATCCAAGAATAGTTCTATAGGACATTGCATCATAATCATTATTTCAATAGTCTTTAATAGGAATGTGTTTTGATGGAGAGAAAAAGGATCAATCAAAATTTATTCATTATCAAAGAATAATCTTTGTAATAGGTTGATTTAATTACTCCATACTGATAATAATGCTGTCATAAATTATTTAGAGTAACTCATGAATAATGGTTTCATCATTTATAAGATTTATGGTTTGACTATATTTGTTTCTTTGGTTTGTTATTCTTATAGAATTTTATTAAATGAATTGAATTTATCAAATGAATAAGATCCAATACCCATAGCAGTTAAAGTATCAGAATATTTGATAAAATCTTATCCTAATGACCAACAATTTATATATAATTCTAGAATGGAAGGTAATGTTGACATAATGACTTCACAAGTATTCTGAAACTTTTAGAATATTAATTTAGTTGTTTTATTTTGATCTTAAACATTTAACAATCCAAATGTTATCATAGATTTTACAGTATTAAAAACAGTATTGTCCTCTTTCATCTTTTCATAAAACATATCATCTCTTTCTTATAATCCTAAAATATGCTTTAAAATAGTCTTAACTCCAATTAAAATAGATTAAATTTCATGTTATGATGATCCTTATAAAAAATCAAATTAATTCATTTTCTGATCTGATTTTTATTATTCATATTATCTATTTGCAATATCTTTAATCATTTTAAAATAGGCAGTTAAAATTTATTGAACACAATCAGTTAATGTTTATTATCTCAAATGTTCAGCCAATAAAGGTATACATGTACTAATGAAATGAATATATTATGCTCTAACATACAGAACATGTGTATGCATTCCTCTTAAAAGAGTAGGAATGAAAATATTATTACTTACAGATCTACTCATTGTATCTTCTATTAATTCTCTTTATTCTGGTTGGAATTTAGTTCTAAAAGAAGAATTGAAGAAAATGACTTTAAACAAATTTAGAATTTACACTTACATTACTAGATCTTCATTTTCTATTGCATGATACAATACAATCTATAAGGGTTGCATAATATATTCAGCAAATTTCAAAGAAACAATTGGATTTTCAACATTAACAATCAATAATTCAATATATTCACATGCAGATGCATTAACAGCAGCATTCTCTTTATAGAATTTTAAAGACATACTCTCAATAGCTTAACCTTGTACATATTTTAAACAAATAATGACTAATAAATCTAAATACATCATAGTATCTTTTTACATGATTACACTACTTTCACTTGTAAAATGCATTCTAATATCCTTTATATAAGATGAGATTTCAGTCTCTTATACATATTCCATGAATCTAGCACTAAATGATATAAGAATAGATTTTAATTTTTTTATGGTTTCATTAATTCTTTTAGTTTCATACACTTTTGCAAAGAATATTTATTGATTATCAGTTAAATACCAAGATGAACTACTTTAAATTAGAACTTCAAATAATGGATCTAAAATTCTTTCTAACATTCCTGTTGATTCTAATAACCAATTTTTAGCATTATGTCTTATGATTGGATTTTCATGATCCAAAAAATCAAGCATTAAAAATAGTCCTACTTTGTTTAGATCTTATAATTCTTTATAATGTGTTGCACTTAATTTCCAAAATAAAGCAAATCTTCTGATAGCTGCTTCTTGCATATTTTTGAATTAATGAATTACAACTTCTGTAAAAAATGTTGGGAATACTTTTGATAAATTTACAATCATTTCTATAATTCTTTCATGAAAAAAAGGGTAATCAAGAAGATTCCATAATTTCTCTAAGGTAAGTTTTGTATAATCTTATCCTTCAATGATTTAATTCTTCAACATTTTAGTTCTACTTTCTTCAACAATTAATTTCTTTAAATTTTCATATATAATATCCACTTTCTCAGATATTAAAATTTCAATCATACTCTATATAGCTAATAAAGAAATTGATGGATTCTCTTCTTTTATTATTTTTGTTATTGAGGTAAACCATTTTGGTAATTATGGAACTTCTTTGTTTTATTTAAATCTTAATCCCTTAATTAATGATTTACTAATTGATTCAAATTCTATTCTTATTTATTCATCTCCATCAAGAATTACATCAGCCAATTTTTAATATAACTATCCAAATTATTCTATGGCTTCATCATAATTTGACATCTCTTATGGTCTTACTAATTGTTTATCCTATTATTAAGGTAATTGTTCCATTCTAACTAACAATTTATTTAATGTTAAACCAGGAGATTATTTTCTTAATTCTTCAGGTGAAAAATTTGATAAACAAGTCATTAAATTAGCTGCAGCACTACGTAATAATGTGAATTCTATAGACTTTTCGAAATTATCTTCTTTAGTGATTAGAATAGAAAATAAAAAGTTTATATATATGTTGTATTATTTGCTAACCTCATTAACAACAATCAATAAAAATGATGTAATTGATTCCAATAATCTTTTACAAGATTTTACAATTTCTGGATATTTTTTGTGATTAATTTCAACATATTTAATTAAATTAAATGAAACTTGTCCAATTAATAATTCAACCATATGATCATGTTCCATAAAAAAATTATATAATAATTTTATTGGAAATACTGCATTCTACTCATTGGCTTCTTATTGTAAAAATTTATTAAATGAATTCACAACATATTAAAGAATATCTTTATTTTGTTCAGTTATTTAGTACTTATTATCCATATCTGGTTTACCAAATAACCATTAATTTACTCTTCTTGTTACTGATAGATCTTTTCTTATTAATAACTTTAATGAAGCTTCAACCAAAATCTCTTTATTTTCTTTAATTACATTAGATTTCAAATGTGTATACATCATATCAAGTGCCTATCTCTTAATTAATTAACTATATAGAATTTATAATAATACTTTTCATCATCCAAACAGGAAATTAGTGCAGGGACATGAAGTGATGGAAAATTGTTTTCATATGTTTCCTCATTGATACCATCTTCAATCATCATCAAAGCTTATTTACGTTTCAATTCCATACTCTATTCTACTACAATAGTTCTCTTTCTTATTTCATTCTAAGCATTATTATCCATTATCTATTCTATAGAATCATCCTTAATGTCTTCTATATCTTGATTATTTTGAGTCACTTTCAATTAATTTTGTTATTATTCTTATGCAATTGATTATGATTTCTATTACTCTTCTTCTTCATATTCATCACTCATATAATCTGATTGTTCATCCTCTTATTCTTATTACATTTTAGGTATCTTTTGAGATAAGTACTTAATAGATGAACTATAACCATATTTACATTATGTACCTTCTACATTTAGGACTTCTAAGCATTGACATCCATACTGATCCAATAAGGAATTTTCTACCTGCTGATTGACTCAATTCATCTAATACACTCATGCATTTTTTTTGATTAGTTTCTTATTGATCATCCAAGCCTGGCAATATACTAGCCACTAATCCTGGTAACATTGGTATTAATTCTCTTCCCAAAGGAACATAATGTTATTTAATGAGATCCAAAAATTATGGTCTTACTTTTGAAGAAGCATTAGAAAAAAAAGGAAGCAATCCAATTGAATATAGGGCAAGATCTTCTAAATACAATTTCACAACTCCTGATGGATCTCCCTCTACACTAAAGTTTGCCATATTTTTGAATAATTGATCATAGATCTTTAATACTGACATATGGATTGGTGCAGAAAGCTAATTAATCTTATAAATTCATACATGAGGATTAAGACATTATGCTAATCTCTTGCTTAATTGAATTTTTTCGATTATATATGGAGATGGATGTTATTTCAACAATCCTTCGATTTTCATCAATAAAGGTGCAATATCAGCCCATTCTTGGTTCTTTTCAAACTTATTTAGATAATATTATAGATTAGTATTCAAAGATGATGTATGCTAAACCAATTTTGATTTATCCATTAACTATTTAAATATATTATTGAAGTATAAGTATTAGACATATAAATTTATTTTTATGAAATCTATTTACCAATTCACCAAATTCAGATCCTCAACATACAATCAGTCCTTGTAGTACCTTGAATAAACCCAATTTGATCCAGACAATAAAACAGCTATTCTCATGCTAAATCTAGGAGGGTGATCTCTAACAATATAGGCTAGGCCCAATTCATTTTAAGAAATCAGTCCATTTTTAATCAGATTCTTTTAAGACACCAGTGTCATTAGAATACCTTTCGGTTTAGGTCCATATATAGCCAGATTGAGAGGTCCTGCCAAAATCAATAAGTAATATGAGAAGATTGGAGGTTTCTCTCCTCTATTCAAATGGACAATGGTATAAGGATTTTTGATGAGCAAACCATAAGGAAGTGGATTTCTACCAGCATTTCGATATGGGTTACCTCTATAAGAGGATGCTATTGAGTATGCTTTTGAGAAAACTGAAGGAAGAATATAAAAATTCTTACTTTTTTCTCAATATCCTCAATATTCTTGTTCAACAGGAGGGAATGCTATACGAAATGCAATTGAATTACTACAAAAATATAAAACAATTCAACCAAAATTGGAAGTATCAGTAATAGATTCATGGCATAAAAACAAATTTTATATTTCTGCCATGGCTACTCTTTTGATAAATAAAATTAAAGGTTAGAATTTAGATCCAAAAGAAACTATCATTCTATTTACAGCACATTCTTTACCAGCTGATTTTGTATGGGATGGTGAAAAATATCCATATTATATTTATGAGTCTTGTTAATTAGTCATAGATCAATTAAAAAATATGGGAATATAAATTCATTTTGATTTATCCTATTAATCCAAAGTAGGCTTAAATAAATGGTTAAGACCAGCAACACATCATGCTTTAAATTAATACATAAAGAATAACAAATTCAAAAATATTCTTATTTCTCCTATGGGATTTACAAGTGATCATTTAGAAACATTATATGAATTAGATATACAACTCATGGAAGACTTAAAAAAGGATATTGAATCTAATAAGAAAAATGTTATTAGATGCGATTCATTAAATGATCATCCATAATTCATTGCTGCATTAAGTGACCTAGTTATTTAAGGATTGGGAAATAAAAAAGGTAGCAGTAAGAGAGAAAGATGTATAGATTGTAAATTTGAGTAATGTGACATAGTCAATAAACATGAATTATGATATTTATATAATCATAAGGTTATTATATATATATTTATATATTATTTTAATGAGTAATAATCAAGGTAGACAAGGAAATGACGATAATCAAGATAGCCAAATAAATATTAATAATCAAGGTAGCCGAACAAATGACAATACATAAATGCAAAATTAAAAAGTTAAAACATAGAAAGATTCTTAAGTTATTATTCCAAATTAAATTTAGAAGTTGAAAGATATTTATGATGTGGATACCAGATATATAGTTTATCCTTTAGGGCCATATGAAGATTAGGATGTATAATGCTATGTTTTTAACATCTTTAATTAATATCTCAAGTAAAATCTATCATTTTGTGAGACTGATATAGCTTTAAAAGGTTATAAATAGAGATATTTTGCCAAATTACAGCCAGAAGTAGATATTATTTTAGTTCCAAAAATCATTGAAAATATTTTATTACCAATAAGGGAACACATTAACTAATTTACAGAAAAGGATAAGAATCTGGATAATCTTTATGATGAAACTATGGCTTTGATTAAATAATTGAATGCAATAAAAATTGACTGAATTATTATTTTGATGAATTTTATCACATATTTATTAAGTTAAATGTTTCATTATAGTAAAAAAATAGATTAACTCAAAATAATTTATGCACTTAAATTTCCAATAATGGTTTTAATTCTGGTTATTGTTTTCTTATTAATTGACTAGATGAAGAATTATGTAAGGATTTCATAAAGAATTATGAGACTTTACTTTTATTTGGTACTCCTCTTATCTATAGGATTAGTTTATATCATTACTGATTAACTTTAAAGACACGTCTATAATTCCTCTTACCAATCCTTTCTTGATTATCTAAATTATTGACTAGTTTTGCTCAAATAAAGAGCATTGTTACTATTTAATTCTGGAAATAGAGTCTTATGTTTATATGGTCTATAGAATCTTCTTTGATTAGTCCTTGAGCCAACCTTGCAAGTTTGTGGGATTTCGAATTTGTCTTATTTTGGTGGTAAATGATATGGGTTTCTTAAGTATTCAAGAACATTGAACTTTCTCTTATTTTATTAATTCATTTAAAATATATTAATAAACATCAATTCTTAAAATATTATTATCTATCCAAAAACTCTTATTTAACATCTTCAATATCATTCTAATAATGGAATACTATAGAATAAATTAATAAATATACTATGTGATTAAGTAACACCTAAATGTGATTCTGAAAATATAACTGATTTTACTTATCCCTTATTTGATTGAACATCTGATTATACTTCAATATTTCTAGGTTGTTTATGAGTTCTTAGAATAAATTAAAATTATTTACAAAACAATATCCCTAAGTTAAAGGAATTATTGAACAATTTGAGTGAATTTTTTGAAGAATTTCATTCCATTTTCACCATCAGCTACTGATTTATAAACTATAATCCTTTTAAAAGATCAGTAGTAGCTTCTTTGTCAATTTTCTAAAATTTACTATAATCTACTTAAAAAGTAAAATAAGGTTTATAACTCGATTCTGAATGTATAAATCAAAAAAAAAAGAAGAATCTTTTTTTATGATTGATTATAGAATCACATAAGAGGCTAAAATATGTGTTATCCCAATTTTGGATATTCAATTGAATAATATTAAAGTCCTTTCAATGCTCCCATAATGTTATCAAGCCAAGCAGCCTTTATAAATTTTTTCTTTAGTTATTTCAGGTACTAGAATTTAAATTACATCATCATATGTACTAAGATATAAAGCTACACTATCAGCTCTACATTCTTTATAAGCACCTGATAATTCTCCAAATTTATCATGCCAATCTTCATTAGGATTATTAAAAGTTCTTAGTTTTTCATTAGTAAATGAATTTATGATATTTTCAAAATTCAATTTTCCATTTTATCTTCCATAAATATCTTGCCACTTACATGTCAAATCAATTCATGAAATGCAACTACAACAAATAAAGATTCTTTATAATACTTTATTAATAAGTCAATATTTATTCTTTATAACAATCTAACAGAATCTCTATTTGGGTTTATTATTAGACATTACCTAAGTTAACATTTTTTAATCCTAAATTTTATCTAATATCATCATATTTTAGTATATTGATGCCAACTGGTGTACCAAAACAAGCAAATGACAATATTTCTAAAGATGTAAAATCAGGTCTACTAAACTTTTTAATTTCAAATACCTTAAGCCAAGGTAAATCTTTAATTATATTCTCTGCCTTTTCAACTAAATTTACAAGTAATTTTAATTCTTCTTATTTTACAATTGATACAAATCTTTCATATTCTGCACTCACTTTCATTGGATCTAAATATGTTTATATAAAACCAATATTTGTTTCAATAATTGGTCCCTTATCTTATATCCATAATTTTTAACTTTCCTTATATTATTCAATATCTCCACTCTCAAAATGTTTAATGTATTCCCCAAAATTTTAACTTAAGTTTCATTTGCAGCATACTTTTATGCCTATCTTAAATTAATGGCCACACCATTTAAAAAGATTTAAAATCTCCATAAACAGTAACTATTTTCATACATTGAATTTCATCAAATTCAATGACATCTGATCACTCTTATGATGCTATCAATAATTCCAATCTATCTTCTTTCAAAATTACTCTACTATTTAATTCACTTACGTTTTATTTATGTAAAAATTAATCCAATTCTTCTATCAATTCCTAACTTAAATTTTGAGAATATTAAGAATTAGATCCTCCCTTCTCTACTAAATCCAATAATCCATATGGTTTATTATATGTATAAATATATTTCTCTATTAAGTTCCATATTTTTTGTAAACTCTTCCTATTATTCGAAATATGCCTTTATTAATTATAAAAATAGTTAATATTTTTCTACAGATAATTCAGGAATAATCTTTGAATCCCCAAAACTTAGATAATTTACACAATTCTAGAAGAATGCAGATACATAAGTAAATTATTATTAAACCTACATTTTATAATAATATATCTCTTACTTCTATTTTCTTAATAATATAAATTATTCATATTAATTCCTTTTAAAATATCTTTTACAACAAATAAAAATAATCCTTATGCTTCATATGATCTTTAAAATTAACAAATTTTAGCACCTGCCCAAAATGCCCTAGAGAAATAGTAAGCATAATGTTTGCTTTTCTCATCTGATAAATTAAACTCTGGACATTCAATTACAGATAACTTAGCCTCTGATGAAATTATAGGTGCTTTTTATTAATCCATAATTATTGTTATATTAATATTCAATTGTCTAAACTATTGATATTCCCATTCTCCAATTGATATTAGCCTGAAAATTCCCTTTTTTAAATAAATAAACAATTTCAATAACTACTTAATAAAAATTCCATTTTCTCTTTAAATGCTTAACTAAGATGAAAAGATGATATTATTAAACAAATTACAAAATATTTAATATTAAATATAACCCAATATTACTACTTACAACCTACTCATATTAAACTTTTCCTAATCTTGCTTAGATTAGTTCTAATTGATGGTTAAAATCGATTAGATTTGAAATTTGTTCCTGTAGCAAATTGTACTTTCTTTTATTCAGAAAAGGAGTTGAAACTTCTAGTAAGAGGAGACTTGAGAATACTTCTCTGTGAATATTCTTCATTAATTTATTATTAGTAATTTCTTTAAAGATAAAACGATAAATCTAAATTTTAAATGTGGATAAGATCTTTCTAAATCTTGGCTTTTTTTTTTATTCCTCTAGTTTCACTCTTTACTGTTAAAGGACTATCAGTGATTTGTGATTTTCGTAATGAATATTAACAATCTTCTTAAAAATTAAAATATTTCACTCTTCCCCTACTAATGTTAATATAATGAATTGGATCATCAGCATCATGTATTTCTGATTCAGATAACTTTTAATTTATCTGATTTGTATAAGTAATACTCATTTTTAATGATGAAAACTTTGTGCTTTTGCTCATCTCATTTAAATTTTTCATCTTTGAATCCAGACTATAGATATCTGATTCAGCATTTTCAATTATTCTGTAATTAGTGCATATTTATCCCATTTTATAAATAATTTAATCATAAAAATCAATTTAATTGACAGACTTATCTACTTTAGAAAATTAACTTCATTCTTCTTTAATAATTGTTTAAACTATAAACACTAAATTACTATATGTAATCTGAATCAAGTTATTTAAAATATAGTTAATAAAATCTTAAATTCTTTATTAGACATTGTATTATAGTTTGTTATTGGAATATTCTTCAAATTATAAATTGGCAAAACAAATACCAAAACAATTATCAGCCTAATTTTTTTTAAATAAAATAAATAGGACTATTTTTCTATTATATATTTGGAAAATTAATTAATAATATACTATGTCCTTATTATTTAATAAGAATATTTCAATTTTCACTTATTTTCCCTCTTTATCCTCTTAATCTTCCCTATCTTATCAAACTATTTTTTATGAGCTTTCTATTTTTTTATCTTTTTTTTCTAATGTTTTTCATTAATTTTTATTGGCTGACAGGTTTCTAATTTATTAAATAGTTTATTACCTTTAATTTCATCTAAATCAGATGAAATTTTATGTTTATGTTTTTCTTCTGAATCTATCATTTCTTTAGCTTCTAATCCCTTAATATAATCTAAATCTTTTTCTAGATTCTATAGTAAATTTCTTATTCCCTCTAATTAAATATTTTACACTTGAATTTCTTGGCCTTCTCTTGCTTTTTTCTTGTGCTTGAGATCGTTGGAGTTTACCATATTTATTAATCAAATTTGTTTTTAAAAATTAATAGTATCTCTTTCAAAGTAAGTAAATTTTTAAGAGACAATAAAAATTAAGTAATACATTGATAATTCTTTATTAGTTTTGTAGATTTGGATATTATTTACAAAACTAATTATTCGCAGCTTATTTAATTTATAATTTAATTGAATGATTACTATTTCTATTAAGTATATGATAAAATTATATAAATAATTTTGCATTCAAAATTTCATATTAACTATCCTTGATCTAAGGTAAAGATAGTTCAATCATAATCTAGCATCTATTAATGTGATAGATTATTTAAATCTTATTTTTAAATTGTAATTAAGTTATAGGAGATAAAATATTTACATCTATTTTTAAAAGTATTGAAATAAAGCTCCTAAAAATTATCATAAGTATGTAGATGTAAATGAATTCAAAAAAAATGAAGAGTATTATAATATTATATTTTTTAGTAATTATTAATAAATTCAATAATTTTTAAATAATGTCTTCAGTTTAGCAATTTTGTGAAGATCTTTCGAATATAGATNATAATCTGAATCAAGTTATTTAAAATATAGTTAATAAAATCTTAAATTCTTTATTAGACATTGTATTATAGTTTGTTATTGGAATATTCTTCAAATTATAAATTGGCAAAACAAATACCAAAACAATTATCAGCCTAATTTTTTTTAAATAAAATAAATAGGACTATTTTTCTATTATATATTTGGAAAATTAATTAATAATATACTATGTCCTTATTATTTAATAAGAATATTTCAATTTTCACTTATTTTCCCTCTTTATCCTCTTAATCTTCCCTATCTTATCAAACTATTTTTTATGAGCTTTCTATTTTTTTATCTTTTTTTTCTAATGTTTTTCATTAATTTTTATTGGCTGACAGGTTTCTAATTTATTAAATAGTTTATTACCTTTAATTTCATCTAAATCAGATGAAATTTTATGTTTATGTTTTTCTTCTGAATCTATCATTTCTTTAGCTTCTAATCCCTTAATATAATCTAAATCTTTTTCTAGATTCTATAGTAAATTTCTTATTCCCTCTAATTAAATATTTTACACTTGAATTTCTTGGCCTTCTCTTGCTTTTTTCTTGTGCTTGAGATCGTTGGAGTTTACCATATTTATTAATCAAATTTGTTTTTAAAAATTAATAGTATCTCTTTCAAAGTAAGTAAATTTTTAAGAGACAATAAAAATTAAGTAATACATTGATAATTCTTTATTAGTTTTGTAGATTTGGATATTATTTACAAAACTAATTATTCGCAGCTTATTTAATTTATAATTTAATTGAATGATTACTATTTCTATTAAGTATATGATAAAATTATATAAATAATTTTGCATTCAAAATTTCATATTAACTATCCTTGATCTAAGGTAAAGATAGTTCAATCATAATCTAGCATCTATTAATGTGATAGATTATTTAAATCTTATTTTTAAATTGTAATTAAGTTATAGGAGATAAAATATTTACATCTATTTTTAAAAGTATTGAAATAAAGCTCCTAAAAATTATCATAAGTATGTAGATGTAAATGAATTCAAAAAAAATGAAGAGTATTATAATATTATATTTTTTAGTAATTATTAATAAATTCAATAATTTTTAAATAATGTCTTCAGTTTAGCAATTTTGTGAAGATCTTTCGAATATAGATTTGAAGGATCCAAATGCAAAAGAGATGATGATGAAAAAAATAACATAGTATGATTAAAAGTAATTATCATAATAAAAATTAGTTTTGCTTAAATCAATTTTCATCCAACTCCATCATAATTATCATAAAATTATAAGAGAGATATTTCAAAGATCTAACTACCATAAAATGGATCCGAAATGGAAAAACAATTAAAAACATAATTTATAGCAGATGGATCAATTTTTGGAGAATATTAATCAATATTAAGATAAGCACATGTTCCTGCTTTTGTTGTACCTCCACCTCCTCCTCCAAAACCAGAAGAATAAGCAGCATAAATATTTTTACGATTACCCTACAATTATCTAGATTAAAATGCTAATACAAAAATTGAATCTAACTTCATATAACAACCCTAAAATTAATAACTAAGTTAAATTTCAAATTTTTTATCTACTATTTAAAATCAAAATTAACCCAATTAAAATCAAAATTAATAACATCAAATGTAAAATCCATCAGCAATTTAAGCAAATATTTTGAATAATCAATAATAAATGGACTTATAAATGTAAATTAATTAAACACCTAATGGTTTAGATAGTGATTTTATAACCAATATAAAAAAAACAGTTAATATATTAGGAGGAATAGAGGACACAGTTTAAAGTATATATTAATGAACATATAAAGTCATGAAATAATCTTTATAAGATTATGAATTACAACATTAGATTGAGAGAAAGATAGAAAAACAACCAATCTTTAAAAACTCGACTTTGATGAATCCATAAAAGAATACTTAATCATAAACTAATCAATAACAATATCATCCTTTTGAAAGATATATGGCAACAGAACCATTATAAATAGTATAATAATCATAAAAGTTAAGGGAGTCAAAATTATAGCAAAACATCCATAAATGATGTATGATTTATTTTGAAAATTGTTATTTTATTTGAGTATAATTATTAGATTTAATTAATTATCTCATATATATAGACTCTTAAATATTCTCGAAATGGCTTTAATAACTTATTATAATCTTATTGTTATCAAATCATTTAAGTGATTAGATAGAAATAACAAAATAAATCTATCAATTTTGTATAGTTTTCAAAATAAATAAAAATATAATGTTTTATTTCTTCTGAAGATTCTTAATTGTTTTTCAATAACATTCTTGTTTGAAAAAAAAAAATATAAATCATATAATTTTAAGTATTCAACTTATGTATCATATTTTGATAAATCAGTATCATTTTGATTAAATTTTTATAGCAAGGAGAATTGAAATTTATTTGATAATGTATTTTTTGAAGAGAAGAATTCTTATAATATAGAGATGATTTTATTAAGTTCAGTCCTGTTGTATGATTGATTATTCAAAAGATTATTTTAAGTAATTGTTAAGATGTATTATGTTTTTAGACTTTCCTTAATAATTGATAAATTATCTAAAGGATAAATAAGAAAGAAATTAGGATTTTCCATTATTTTGCCTTTATATAAGGATTTCTTTTAATCAATGAAGAAATATTGCTTTGTATTTCTAAGAATAATAGATCATTTTACAACATGTTGGATTATTTATCAATGATTTATTAAAAATATAAAGGATATCAACTTCTATAAGATAATTTTATTAATGTTTATGGATTATTTTGAGCATTTCATATAGAGTTCTTTCAGAAATATATAGATTGAATTTTTGATAAAATATAAGTATTTGCACATATTTATTTTATGTTGAGATATAAAACATTTTTGTACCAAACTGATTCTAAGTTTCTTAAAGGCCATATGTAATCCTTCTATTCTATTATTATAAATGATATGATAACCATATCATATGACTATTTATTAAATTCTCATTAAATTGATTATCTATAACATGATCATATGATTGTATATCTATAAATTGATTAATATGAGATGTCTAAACATAAATCATAAGATATCTTTAATCAGTAATCATTTCATATTTACAAAAATTTAATCGATCTCTTAGACTATTAAACAATTCAAGTGAATTTTATCTTAATCCTATTTTAATTAATGTTGCTGGAACAATACTTACAAAATCCTATATTGATGTACCATTTTGAATTGCTGATGACAATAATACTTTTCTTAAATGTTTTATATTTTAGAACATATTAAAATCTTTAATTTTCATTTTTCAAATTATGGCTGAATAAACCCAAGACAAACAATTCAAAGGAGTTAAGAAGTTTACTTATAGAGGTCTCTAACTTGAAGAGCTTGTTAAACTTCCTATGGATAAATTGGTTGAATAATTTAGAGCTAGATAGAGAAGAAGAATCTCAAATCAAGGAGAAAAAGTACATGCTTTTTAAAACTTGATGAAGAAGGTAAATAATAAAATAAATATATTTAGATCAGAAAGTCCAAGAAAGAAACATTGCCAGGAGAAAAGCCAAAGCCAGTGAAGACTCATTAAAGAAACACAATTGTTGTACCTGAGATGGTTGGTTCAATTGTTGGAGTCTACAATGGAAGATAATTCAGTAATGTTGAAATCAAATTTGATATGATTGGCAGGTATTTGTTTGTAATAGCATATATAATAGATATTTGGGTGAATTCTCATTAACATATAAGCCAACAAGACATGGTAAGCCAGGAGTTGGTGCAACAAAAGGATCATAACACACAGATTGATGTTATGAATTTAAAAGTACATTAAGTTAATTCTACAAATTATAAATTATTATGCTTGCAATTACAAATCAATATTATTATGTAAAGCAAACAAATTATAAACTTTTTATCATTCTTATTCTCTTTATATTTGTTTAATTTCTTATTATTACTATTTTATTTATTTATTTCTTAATTAATGATAATGATATTCTATTCAGATATTAGTAAATATTATTTTACAATTTTATAATAATCAATTATGGATATCGAAAGGTTAAAAATTCCTGATTGATTCAACTTAAGAAAAGGATTGATGATGGTTACCTTAATTAGCCAAAGGGCCATTCTTCATTATGATTTCATCCATTCTATAACTCCACTAAAGCATTTCTAATTATCTTAGACTTTTATGTTAAATTTTAATATTATTGATATCGAATGGGCTTTTGCAATCAGGACAATACTAATAAATATTTGATAATATTACTTAATGATTATTCAACCATTTATCTATACATGGAGTATGAAATAGATGTTCACAAAATATTAATCTAATTTAAGTTCCATCATTATATTTATCTAAACAAATAGAGCATTTATCATATGCCAAATACTTATTTTATCTTGTAATCAAGGCTCCATATTCTTGAGATGGAAATAATCTATTGATCAAAGGGATAATGGTATTTTCATCCTATTTTGCAGGTTCTAAATTCGTCCTTTTTGGAACTCTTGCTTTTTTTTTAAATTTTGATCTCATAATACAAACAATTATTAAAAGGAATAATGTAGCTATGATTGTAGTTAATATAATGATTAATTAATAAGCATCTGCAACATCATTGTTTTAACTTAAATAGGTGATTTCTAAATTATCAAAAAAAATTAAATAATAGAAATTAACAGTTTAATTAAATTATTTTTAGAATTATTCAATTTTATTTTAACAGGATGCTATATCACTTTATGTGATGTTCAAAATGCTATTAATATTTATTTAAACTAAATTTGGATTCATGTTATCAATGATACAATAAGTTATATATTTTGTATTATCCTAAAATTTTAATACATAATCTATATTATTAAATTGTCTTATATCTAAATAGTACATTTTATATCCCTAAAACATATTTTGAGTTTAGATATTATCTAAAAGTAAATGACAATCATTTCCAAGTTATTACTCTCTACAAATGCAGAATGAATTTCGACATTCAGAATCATGCTTACAATCACTAAATTTATATACAATAGTACTAGAAACATTCCTCATTTGTTTAATAAGAAAATGATATTGTAATATCAGTTTCTAAAACTGATTAAATACCAATAATACTCGATTCATTATATTCATACAAATTCAAATAGGATGAAATTAGACTCTTTTAATTTAGTTTGCCAAATATTAATTATTAAGAAGACATCATCTGATATGAGAACCAATCTACAAAGCAACTTTATTATCATTAATTCTTAACCTTGAATTTGATAATAATTGCTGAAAAGTATATTCAGTCGGTTATATGTAACAAATAAAAAGGAGAGGTTGATCCTCTTTCTTCTCTTTCTTAAAAAACTCTAATGCTATTCTAACCTAGGATTTCATTTCAAATGGAATAATCTTAATTCCCTTTAATGAACTATATTGTTAAACTTGGCATGCACATATTCCAAAGACAATAATGATCAAGCATTATTTCATATTTATATTAAATATCTATTCAGTTTAGCTAACCAAATCTCATTTTAAACAAAAATTAAAAAAATCAATACATTTTGTTTATTTCATGACGGCTTATTAGAAAATTGATTAAAATACCTCAAATAAGATATAATAAACTTCAACTAAAAATATTTTTAACTTAAATCAGAGGATAATAAAAATATACATGGTTAGAGAATTTTAAGAAATTTTGTATCGAAAAATGATATATTATATATCCATTATTTTAAATTAGAATAATACTCTTAAGATAACTATTACAATCTATTATATGGAATAGCACTTGATAAATTGAAATATATTCCATTATTTTACTTAATTTATATTACTAGTAAAATATTCTAAATATAAAACAATTAATCGAATTTATTGCTTTTGTAAAGAAAAAGTATCATTAGATTAAAATGAAATATTTAAATTTATATGAAAAATATGTATTGGATATAATAGATTATTTATGTAAATGGATTTTAATTATTATCATTAAAAAAAAGAATGAAAAAGTCAATGATGGAAAAGAGCTCTGAGATAGTATTCCATAAATAGTTATTAATTCAAACAATATAAATAAAAAATTGAATCTTTGTAATGATCCATATTTTACTTTAAGATTTATTCTTATTTTTTATCTTAATTTTAAGAAAATGAATAAAAATGATTATCCACATTATATATTATTTATGAAATATGATTTCCATTATTATTCTAAAATTTACTTAATTCATAGATAATCTATCTTAAGAAACAAAATATTATAATATAATAAATATAAATTTAATAAATAAATGCTATTTATTGCATTTAATTAATTATTAAAGAAAAAGATGATTACAGTAATTTCAGTGTTATAAAGTTGAAAATGATATTAGAATATTTGAAAAACATTATATTAAAACTATTCTAAATATAAAATATTATTATTGTATTGATTTTTAGGAACTCAAAAAAATTTAATAAATACTTTTTTCATTAATGAAAAATTAGGATGAGAAAAAACATTAATTAGATAGAATCGGCACAGCCAGTACTATGGCTTAAACTGGACAATAATCTCATTTTTAATAATAATTCTAATGTGAATTTACTTAAACCACTTTTGGTAAAATGAAAAAAGAACAAAACTATAAGATCAATAATAGATATTAAAAACAAGATAATAATGATGAGCCTGTCGATTAAGATCAGTAAATAAGTGATAACTAGAACTAATAGGAAATATAATAATTTTAATAAAAAGAGTTGTAAACAAAACAAAAAAAAACAAAAGAAGATGAATACTAGAAATTAATTAAATTTAATGAAGATCAATATAATGATTGTAATCAATATTCAGAACCCGATTAAAATTAGGAATCACCTGTTATGAAACCTAAGAAAATTTAAGGTGATCACCTTTATATCACTTGGTATGATATATTTGAATTTTAGTTAGATAAAGCCTTTTGGTGAATTTTTATTAAAGTATCATTTACAAGATATTGCTCATCCTTATATTAAAAAGAGGACAACAACAAAATGCTGTTTTTTTGCTGTGAATACTAAATAATCTCTCTATTAGACATAAAAATAAAATCTTATTAAAGTAGGCTAGATTTTATATGATGATACTAATGAAGATCATTGTAACTTACTATATTCAATTTTCTATTTATTATTTTAATTAGAAAAATTATCAAAAAGAAAATCTTAAGAGATCTCAAATAATAAAATTAACTTATTCTAATTATTATATACTTTATCTTGTGTTACATCGTTTAGAGATGATTTATATTAAATTGGAAAATTTGATAAAGAAAAAATAGTCTCTATAATGTTTTTTTGTTCTAAATACATTTTTGAACTTTTATAATATGGAAGTTTGGATCCAATTTTTAAAAATACTGAAAGTAATGGGGAAACATTCCATAATCTTATGACTTGTATACATATGGGAGTATTTCTATATATTTCTAATTCTAATTATACATAGGAATAGGAAATCTATTAAAATTTATAAAATAAAAATGTAAAACAACTTTTAGATATTTGGAAAGAAAATAAATTTAAAAATAATTGAAAACATTTGATTAAATCAATTTTGATTTTATAAATTAATTAAAAAGTTGTTCTAAAGCTAACAATCTTTTTTTGATAATATATATACAATTTCTAATTATATGTTTATTAAAATAACTGAATATATTTGAGAAACAATTAATATAAAAATTTAATATAATATATATATATATAAAAAGATTATAATATAAAAAAAAAAGTTTATATCCAATTTTTATTTGTTTTTAAAGATACGTTCATTATTAAAATTAATTCATGGATAATTTAAAGAAAGCACAAAAACTTATGTAAGTTTAGCAGGTATACTTAGAAAATTTGGATAAATAACAAAAGACGACATTGTAATTGGCAAAGATGAAGTTGATAGAAAATTTTTGACTCCATGTGGTCCTGTTTATACAGAGTATCACGACTGCTTGAAATAAAATTATGGAGACGTTATCATCTGTATAACAGCATTTAATTAAATTAGGTGATAAATTTAGAGAGAAGATGATTGAATGTGAAGTAAGTCAAGGATTTTTCAAATATGATGTTTCTGAAATAAGAAGAAGAAGATAAAAACTCCATGGTAGTGAAGCTTGATTTATTAATAATTATAGAAGAATTATAGCTCATTATTATTAGTATTTATATATATATATATAGTTTTTTATTATATTAATTTTTTATAATTAAATTTAAAATCATTTTAACATAATAAATATCTTAGTGGATACTTAATAGAGTGTTTTGTGTATTTAAGAATATAATGAAATATGAATGGTGATTAAAAATGAACAATTCTAAAAATAAATATAATAAATTAATTAATTCTTAATCAAATTTTATAATTAATATATTTTATCAATCAGATAGAAACCAATTGTTGATCAATAATGCATAATTCAAAATAATTCAATTTTTATTTACATATATATCATATTGATATTGTAAAAATCTTTAAAAAATCAATGAAGTAGGAAATGGGTTGGTTTTTTTTCCATAATTACTTTATTTTATTTAAAATGAGCGATGGAGTTGGTTTCTTCTTTGATTTTTATTAAGACATTTAGTCCTTTAATTGTTAATTGGAATTGAACTAAAACTAGAAATAAGAACAAAATTTTGACTATTAGTTTTGTTATGATCATTCAGATGAAATGATGTAATATAGTAAGAAATATAAAAATTAGTGAATTTTAACATTAGAACTTCTTATTTGAGAAATAATAACAGGAAGAACAGTTATCATTTTCTAAGAATTTATAAGAATTATAAAGTTGTGATATGTTGAGTGAAGAGGAGATAAGTAAATAAAAATATCAAAATTTTGAGTAATTAAATTAATCAAGAAGTAGAAGTAGAGAGATTGAAAAAAAAGTATTCATTAATATATGAAAGAATATAGGAAGGGAAATTAAAGAAATGGACATAATAGGAAAGTGATCTATTGAAAAATTATTATAATTAATTTAATGGAAATTGGGATAGAATTGTTGAATAAATGAGAGGAAGAACCATAACTTAATGTAAGCAATATTGGCATAGAAAAAATAAAAATGAAGATTAAAAAAAGTGTAAATGGACAATAGAAGAAGATTAAATAATCAAAGATAATATCAATTAGTATGAAAATAATTGGGCAACCATTGCAAAAAGTAATTGTTGTTCTTAAATTATTAGTATTAAAAAGTAAAACAGGAAAATAAATAAGAGAGAGGTATATCAATAAATTAAGAGCAGATATAATAGATTCTAAGAAATAACCTTGGACACCATAAGAAGATTAAAAACTTATAAATTTATTTCATTAATTTGGATCAAAATGGTCTAGTATAGCAAGATCATTTTATGGAAGATCAGTAAATTTTTAAATAGATTTAGGATTTGCAAGTAAGAAATAGAACAAAGAAATTGTTAAAAGATGATATAAATTAAAATACAAAGTCTTTATAAAATTAGCAATTAAGAATATAAGTTTAATTAGAAGATGACATAGATGCATTTTAAGATATTGGTTAGACTTGTGAAAAACCTCAAAATAAAACTAAATTTAATTTTGATTAGTTCAATTCTTCAACATTCTCATTCAATTAAACTAAACTAGATTGAGTTTAATTATTTATATAGTTTCTTTATTTGTAATAATTTAATTTAAAAATTAATTTCTTATAAAGTATTGAGAATTCAATTATATAGTTTCTAAAATATTTAGTAATTTTAGAACATCAATCAAAATTCTAAATTTAAATTAATTATTAATTAAATTTATATTGTAATCACATTATAAAATTTAAAATATGCATCCTTTATTGATTAGTTTACAGAATTGATCACAATAAGAAATCTATATATAAATAGTTGTAAATACTAATAAAGTAAACTATAAAATCAAAATAAATAATTAAGATTATTAATAATTGATATAAAATGTTTATTTACATATTTTAGATAATGAAGAAACCATTAAAAATATTTAAACAATAATAAATTCTATAAAAGAACTAATCAAAAGAGAAAGTAATATTCTGTTGATAATCACTATATTTTGTTCAAATCTTTATGTAATAATAATATGCTATTTTTTAAATAAGTAATATAAGATTAGTAAATATATTAAGAATATAATATATTAAGGATATATAAAAAGGTGTAAAGTGAATTAAGAAGATTATAAGACTTTAAGTATATCAGACCTATTGGAATAATTAACAAAAATATTGTTATGATTATTAAAAGGATCTTCAATATTAATACATAATTGATGTGATAGATAACAAGATTGGAAATTTGGAATCTAAAATTATTTGATAATAATAGATTAGTGAATGTAATTGATGTGAAGATTTTAATGAGAGTTGAGATTTTTAATGTATTTTGTTCATGAGTCATCTAATGAATTAATACAAAATAATTTTATATATGTAAAGAAAAAATATTACTTTATAATTAAATCCAAATGAAGTTTATTAATTACCACTAAGGAAATTGTCTTTATTGGAACTACTTTAAAATAAATTGATTAAAAATAAATAACTTAGATCTATTGAATAAGATCAATCAGAATAAATAATTACAAAGAAATAATTAAAAGCTCCATTAAGAAATAAAAGTTGTGAGTGTTCGTGTTGTGGATTATGGTAAATAAAATTAATAGACAAAGAATAAATAAATCAAATAAATCAGTAAGTAGAGATAAAGAGAAAAAAGAGATTAAGAAAAATATTTGTAAATAGTGTAAAAATGATCATTTAAGTTAATCGTTTTTCTTAATGTGGATTAGAATACTTTGTAAATAGATTAAAAAGAAAAATGTAAAGAGTTAAATCATTGCATATAATTGAAAATAAGTAAATCTTATTCATTAAATGTAATACTTATTTTATCTTAGCTCATTATCATATTGATTTGGGAAATATGATAATTGATCAATCTCCACAAAATAATACTCATGAAACTTAGAAAACCAAATAAAAATCAAAGAAAATTCATTTAAGATTAAATAAAAGAATAGAAAATAAATGGTAGAATAATAAATAAAGTGATCATTTTGATTTATCAAAGTACACTATTAGAAGTAGATCAAATAATACCATTAATTAATATATCTAATAAAAATTGACTCATATTAATTACTTACCTCCAATATCTCTACCTCAAACAGCTAGATCTAATATAAGTGAGAATAAATAATTAGGTTAATTATCACCTTATAGTCGATTCTCTTAACCAATAAGATTTATTGCGAGATCAGTTTCAACAAATAAAAGAAGATAATGAAAAATATGAGAATTATTGTAATTATTTTTAATATATATTTATTATCTATTAGAGACAGTATAGTTGTATTTGAAACTATTAAATAATCGATAAGAAGTAGTATGATCTTATCATCAATATTATATATATTTAAGTTATATAAATAAAATTATTAAATGAAGTTTCAGAAATTGGAAGACGATTAGACATTAAAAGATCAATAGAATCTTAAATAAAAAAAAGAATTATTAAAATAAGAATTTGAACATTTAGAGGAAATAAAAAAATATGATAATTTATCAATTGTTTCAAGCAATGATTTTAAGTTTAAAGCAGAATTGGATAAACTTTTAGAAATGAATAGAAGTAAGAATAAGGAATTAAGTTTATTATTGAAACCTTAAACCTTTCAACCATCTTAATCTTAAATGACAGGTTCTTAAATATAAACCATTTCTGGAACTTATGGTTAAATTAGATCAATTAATAATCATCATTCAGACCCATTATTTGCAACATTTACTTAAAGCATATATACTAAAGATACTGATAGTAATGAATAATATATAGAGTAATTAAAAGTCTAAGAAGAACGATATAACGATTTAATTTTAGAAGAATCTGAAAAAAGAGATTCTTTAGAGTAATAATTAATTCAAATAGAAAAATCTAAACTTATATTACAATAAAAAGTAGAATAATATTAAATGTTAACAAGAATGTCTAATAAAAGATTTGCTAATACTTAATCTTTATAATTTTTAGCAGAATAAAAAAAAGAAACTAGTAAAGTTAATTTGAGATCAATTAAAGATGAATTTGAATAAATGAAAAAGATGCAAGACACATATAAAAAATAATAAGAAGAAAAATAATCAAATTTATAAAAAGTCATTTATGTTGGTGAAGAGAATATTGGACATAATGCTATTAAAATTGAACATGCCTTATAAATGAATGATGAATGCATTAGATAAATAGAAAAATTAGAAATTGAAAAATAAAAAAAAATTGAAAAAAAATTAGAAAGTCGTTACATTCTAACATATATTGAATGTTTTGAAAATTTTGAAAGGATTTTTATGGAACCTACAGGAATATAAAATGCATATAGATTAGTAGATGAATTCTAAGTAAATGAAGATTAATTACGTAAATATTCATAATAATAAATTTAATTTGATTAATCAGCTAATGTATAAAGTGAAGAAGATTTTGATCGTAATGAATTATTATCATAAATAACTAAATTTTATGAATAAGGGGAAAATAGAACAAAATATATTTTAAATTTTATGTTAGAATAATATTGGCATCTATAATCAACATTAAATAAAAGTAGTTTAGAATATGAAAATCTATTAAAATAAAAAAAAGTATTATTGGATGCTATAGAAAATTTAGAATGGGAAATAAATGAATTAAAATAGAAGAATCCAAATTTGGAAGTTCATGAATACTCATCTGTTGCTGAAGATGCTGGATTATTATACGTCAAAGAATAAATGACTACATTAAATATAAAGAAAATGGAAATGGAAGATCATACAGATAATGTTTTATATTAAAAAGCTGCAAAAGCATAGGGATTACTTATGAAATTCTAATTAGGATTAGCAGAATTTATGCATAGAGTATTTTAAATAATCTCACTTATTGATAATAAAAATAAAGAAATTAAAAAATTTAAATATACAGGTTTATCAAGTGAAATATTGAATTATGAAAAATATTTAGCAAAAGTATATCATTCAAATGAAAAGAAATTTTAGATTACTAACAATTCAGAATAAATGGATGTTTAACCATTACATCTAAATTTATTTTAAATTTCCAATATTATTTCATAAGTATTAAACATAAATTAAAATATTGTTGAAGAAATTAGTACCTACTTCTTTATATAATGTAAGACAGATTAAGTATTATGGTTTCATTTGACTTAAGATAATTTCACTTAATTTATAAATTAATATAAATCTTTGGATCCTGTTTTAATCTTAAAAGAATTATAATCTCCACATATGATTAATTAATTTAGAGAATAATTAGTTGATATTTTTACTAGCAATTTTAAGGAATTATTCGCTTTTTTTACAAATATGTATAGTAAAGTTAAAGATATAGCTGAAGATTTATTAATTCATTTAAAAGAAAACAATCCTAAATTCGACTTTAATAAATTAAATAGGAATCTAACTAAAGAAGGATAAGATATTAAATAAGCAAAAGATTTAATAATAAAAAGAATGATCAAATATAAGACTGGAGATAATTTAACATTAAGATAAGAGAATTCATTGTCAGCTCTTAAGAATGCTAAAACTAAAATGGAAGATGATTAAGTTATTGAATAAGTTTAAACAAAATTACAATAAGATTATTAAAATTCTAAAGATTTATTCCCTTTAAAAGAAGAATTTGATGAATCATAATTAACTTAAATTAAAAGCTTCTTTAGATAAAAAATTAAAGAAAAAAATGAAGAAAAGAAAGAATGTAAAACTGATCAAAATTCAACAAAAGATTAAATTACAATTAAAGATTAATAAGACTTTTAATAGAAAAAAAAAATATAAGAAAAAAATGAAAATAAATATGAAAAAGGAAGAAATAAAAAGAATTAGGAAATTAAACCTTAAAATTAAATAATTAGAGATGAATTAGAATAAGAAAGAGAATTACTAAAAGCTTAGATTGCTTCAAATGTTTAGAGAATGCAAGAAGAAAAAGAAAGGAAAGAAAAGCCAGAATTTAAAGAATAATAAAATGAAAGAAAAACATAAATAAAAGAATCAACTGAAAGACTTTATGGTGAAAGAGGATATACAGTATAATTGATTAGAAATATGGCTTTGACATCAAATATTTTAAGTGATATTGATTAGTTGGAACATTTTCAAACAAAAATTGAATAACCATAATTAGTAAGTACTTTTGTTATGCAAAGGAAAAATCTACATAAGAATTTAACTAAGGATCTAACATTACCATAATTATCTTACTTAAAACCAACAAGTGCATATATTGCAAGAAGGAATTAATCATCTGAATAGATTAAAGCTATGGATTATAAAAGGTATTATGAAATAGAAAATGGAGTAAGCATAAGACCATAAACATAATAATTAGCAAGAAAATCTATTACAAAATAAAAAAATAATACTTTTAATACTGAAGAATATAAGAAAAAATACTCAGTTAAAAATTTGAAGAATTATAATAGTGACATCAAATCAAATTAATATCCATAACCTATAGCAGAATTTCCAACAAATAATGGCCCTTAATCATGTTTAATTCCTTAAATGAATTGATTTCACAATAATTTACACATATATTATAAATAATTTATCAGTTAAAATTTATATGATTTTGTCGAATAAGAGAAAATAAGAGCTTTTTCGACTAGATTCCATGCTTGATAAGCTTAATGAATTCATTCAAAATTAGAGTTTATAATTAGAAAATATATAAAGGATAAAAACCATTGAATCTATTGATTAATAGAAATAATTCTAATTTAAGATTAAACCTCTTGAAATTACAATTTTATATGAAAAGCTGAATAGTTTATTATTGAAAAAGAAGTCTTCAATCTTTATTCATTTTTTAATAGTAACAAAAAATCAAACAGCTTCTAAAGTAAAATATAATATGCAAGAATCAATAACTATTAAATGTTTTACACCAAGAGATATGAATTAAAAATCTTTAAATTGTATAAATAGTGGATGTAATAAATAACAAATTAGTAGTAATTTGAGTTTGTCATAATAGAGCTATAATAAAGAAAATATTGGCTCAACTCGTTCAGCTCATTAGAATAGTTAATTAAGATCTAACTGTATTTATTATTAAATTGATACAATTAAAGAAAATAATAAAGAAAAAAAGAAAGACTTTTTATTATCACCTAGTGATACTCCATTACTTAATTAGAAAACTACAAAATATAATTTCTTAAAAAATAAGATTTATACTCCTAGTTATAATAAATAATTGAAATCTAGTTATAAATCTTATCAAACTTAAAGCAGAGAAAGAGTGTTTAGTAAAAACTTTAGAAAAGGTCTTCTTTAATTTGATGATAACAATCTAAATAATTATTAAATAACATAAACTATTATTTCTAATTAATAAAATTGTAAATAATTTAATAAATATTAATAGAAATTTCATACTTCTCTATAGAGACAAGCACACCTGAAGAAGAGGATTAATAGGATCAATTATTTACAAATCCTTCTGAATGGAATCAATATTTAATATCAAGAGATAACAAATTTGTTTCATCTAGATAATAAACTTGTGTCAATACTCAAACTTAATAGTTATAAAGAGAAACTATGAATATTCTAAAATCATGCCTTTTTGGATTTTTCTTAGGATTGTTTTTGGGATTAGTGCTATTAAAAAATTTATACATATTTATGTGATAAAATTATATAGATAATTAAAATCTTAGAATAATTTATTAAAATTATTAAATATGTTTTAATTTGATTATCTTTTTTAATAAATAGATTAAATTCTTATTAGTTTTTTTCAGTTCTTAGCAGATTGGTAATAGTTATTATTTATAATATTCTATATTCATTATAACTTAATAATAATGAATAACATACTTTGATGAACATATGGATATTTAAAAAGATGAACTATTAATAGTATAAAACGAAAAAATAATAAAACAAATATAAAATATCATAAACAATTATCATTTTTATGGATATTAAGTTTAGATGTTTAGAATAGTTTTGAATTAATCGAGAAATTTAGTTTATGTAAATGCTCTTGATCAACGAAATTATTATCATGTTCATAGTTGTTTAGTTGATATTCATCTTCATATTCATATTACAGATTTTTTTGTTAAGGTAAAGTCTTTGATGGAAGACGAATGCCAAATTTATCAAACTAATTTTGTTCTTTTTCATTAGATGCTCGAGAAAAAGAACTAATTTCTTATTGTTTTAAATAATCTTAACTTTTTCTACTTATAGGTACGCTTAAAATTGATATTGTTCTGTTTTTATTACCAAAATTTTAAGGAGTAGTTTATGTATTTGCTTAACTAACATAATGAATTCCTTAATCCATTTCCATACTAGCATGCATATTCATATGAGTTTCACCTTTTGCATTTATATCGTGATATTGTTTTGATACTATTTATTTGGGTAATGATATTTAACAAAAAAAGGGCGTTTTAAAAAATTAATGATTTAAAGCTTCACTTATTGTTATTCTATCCTTTGGGTATTTTTTAGTCATTTAACATATCAAATTCTCTACTAAATTCATAATCTCATATATTACTTACATGTTTTTGGGTATTTAGATGCAGGGATTTCGAAATAAGCTTCTGTGTTCTTTTTAATCGTTTATTTTAAATCATTTTATTTAAATGGATTATATCCATATAATATTACAAATAATGTAATTCCAATACTAAATATATCACATTATTAATTATATGTTTTCTTAGATTCTTCATATTTTAATACTTCAGGAGCAGAATATCTAATAGTTATTTAGCAATCATACCCTGGACTTCCACATTAAGGAAATGGAATTTATTTTTACCAAGTAAAAGCTGCTAACCCAAAATCAATAATAACAGGCTTCTGAATGTCATTACCATTTAGTAAAATATTCTATGGTTTAATATCTCTATGCATAACTTTTTATAAATGAATCTATTCTATCGCACTTAGAATGTTGAAAATCATTATTCTTAAATCTTCTTATGAATATATTTTCTTTGATGATTATTATGATACTAATTCAGGTCCATCAATATATTCAGTTAATAAATAAATATTTGATTAATTTTCATAGACTCTATATAATTTTAAGATATTTGGATGATTAAACATGCGCAATGCTTATATTTCATTTAATAATTATTCTTCATAATTTTTATTTTTGCTAATTTATTTAATTGTGTGTTTTTTTATGACTTTTACGGCAAAAATCTCACCTTCTTTATTTTAGCATTAATGGACCTAAAATTAATTATATAGATTTACTGTTGAGAAGCTTCCCTAACCTATCTAAACTCCTAATTTGTATGATTTATCAAAATCACTGAGGATACAACAATTAGATAATGCATCCATCCATATATTATATTGTTATAATTCATCTGTATATAGGTGTATTTAATAACCATTATTTATTAATGATATTTCCAATCCTTATTCAAACTGATGAAATTAACAATATACTGTGTCCAACTACACAAATCCCTTAATCCGATTACCTTTACCTACATCAGAATAAAGTAAAAATTGTTTGACCAAAAAGTAAGTTCTGACGCATCTTTATTTAAAAGTCTTACCAACTTTTGTAAAGTTACCCATTAACACTTAAACATTTTTAAAATCCTCTTAATCAAATGTAGGGATGTCAGTTTTGTTCCAAAATCCTTAATTCTCCACTTGACCCTTACTAAATATCATATATATTATTAAAAATTAACAAATTGAATAAAATAGCTACAATTTATTTTCTAATGTTGATGCTTTCTAAATCATCCCATCATCTAATCAATCTTTATGTTTCTAATTATCTATTACATCTGAAATAATCAATTAAATAACTTATATTATTTTAGAAAATTATATAACTATCAACAATATTTCTATCAAAAATAATTCATATCCTCTTTCATACAAGTTACAAGTAATAAGATAAAAGGAAACAGATGATAAGATTGTATTATTAAACATAGTTATAAATTTACTCATAACAATTATTGATTATATAGATAATAATCAACTTTTAACCTCCAGATTTCTTGATCAAATTTAAATCAATCTTGATCTTAATTTTATGTATAATAAATATATATAATCTACTTTATTACAGAAAAACTTTTAAAAAGAAATTATAACTGAATTATGTATTTTACATTAAAAAATACTAGTTATTATTCCAATAAATAATTCAATGAAAATAAGAACAGTTATAACATATTTTAAATTAATTGCTATCAATTATAAAATAAATTTAGATAGTCTCTTAATAAGTAGGATTTAAATTTTAAATGAATTTTAGTTTTCTAATCAAGTTTAAAAAATCCAAAATATATATCATTCACCTGTTTTAAAACTTTAAGTTTTTTTACTAAAAAGTTAATTTATTTTTGAAATATTTGAGAATAATATTATTAAGTACATCAAATTGTAATAAAGGACTCTTTTTTTTTTGTTTCCATAAATACCTATTATTAATTGTATTTCAAATTAGTACAAGAGTTAATTTTATTTATAAATAAAGAAATATTTCAATATTTATTAAGATATAACCGAGTTATATTTTATTAAAATTAAAATTAAAAAGGAATTAAATTACCAAAATTATTTATATTAAAAATTTAAATCTTAACTTTATAAAGAGTTTTCATAATTAAGCATAATCAGTTAATAAACTTAGAAATCATAAGACTTATTACCAATAACATCGAACATTTTATCAAATAATTTTTATTAAATATCAAATTACTTGTCACATTTATAATTTAATGACTAAAATAACTAGTCCTCTTATTTTTTTATGAAAATAAATTGTTAAATTTAAATTTTCAATGAAAAATAATAAAATCTATTTCTTTATTTATATATATAAGATTAGTTTCCAATTAACAAATTTATTGTAAATGTTCACTTAAATTAAATATTATTATTATAAAAATAAAAATTATCTATATTTGGAGAGATTGATATCAAAATTTTATTTAAATTTCTAATTAAAATATAATGATCAAATTATATCAAAATAAAGATTCAATTTTAAAGACTTAAACAGAAATGACTAATAATATTAGAATTCAGTTATAATATTTATTTATCATAAATTGCAAAGATAAACAAGTAAAATCAGTATTTTTAATGAGATTTATTATCTAAATCTGGGAGTTTTGGTAATTTTCGCAATCTATTACCATATTCCTATTATTTTTCATAATAGACGTCAAGGTTCTTCTTTGAGATATTTGGTTTTAGTGTTTACAATTTTTTGATCAAATTTATATTTTCTAAGGAAGTATTCAAAGTATTATTTGTGCTTTTAATATCAGTTTAGGAGTTGTTTCTAAATCGATTAATGTTAAAATATGGATTTTCTCTTACTTTGATTCTTTCGATTTTGTCATCCAATAACTTATAAATTATGAGATAAGAAATACTTTTTATAATTTATCTTATGCATTTTATTATTATTGTTTATTAAATTTAGATGTGTGTTAAAGCATCAAAAATCGAGAATTGGTAGCACTTTTATTTTATTCAATTGTTTTATAGATGTTTATTTTGTCTTTATCAATTTGTTACATTCTTTTAAAATGGTTGTAGTACTCCTCTAGTTGATAAGATTCAATAGTAGGATTATGGATTATAAAACGATTAGCTTTCATATATTAGAGTTACTTAATTAATTAAGTTTATTGATAAATTTAATGAACTTATTGTATGTATTTTATATTGGTTTACTCAAGCGAGTTTGATATCTTCAATGTGAACTGGAGTCATTGGTACATATTTATAAGATGGATCAGCATATTTAGTTTTCTTCACATGTTCAGATTGTGTAGATCTTTCTTTGATAATTTTTGCATGTTATTTATGATACTAATTTTTTGAATAAAATAATGATTTATACTCTTTTCATCATTTCTGCTGTATAAATTGAGCTAATTTCTGTATAATGTGCAGATAATCTTTGATTTAATGTATTCAATGGGAAATGTAAAGAATTTGTAGCTTTCTTCATCACATAATCTAAATTATCAGGACTAAGAATAACATTAAGATCAATTACTAGTATGATCTGTTCTCAGAGGAATAATATACTAATCTGAATAGACCTGCTAATACAGCTATAGGACCCAAGAAAACTGCTGCTCTCATTGGTCTTAACATATGATATCCTTGATGTGTTAATCCTCTAAATATATAGATTCATATTTCTACTTCAATACTGAGTATTTATGACCCATAAAGGCTGTGGCAAACAATACTCTTCTGTTAAAGTAAATGAACATTTAATTTGTTGGATGATAGCCAAATTCTCTTGGTCCAATAAGGAAAAATCTACCGATCTTACCCAAAAGTCCTTGATATTGAGTGTAATTTAGCTACCTGATCTTTTAGCCAATTTCTCATTGACAACAGCTGAGACTGGTTATAAAATCTTTAACCATGCCTATTGAATTGGATTCATCTTAATTAAATAAATGTTATAAGAAACTTTTAATAAAAATTACTAATTACGCATTCGGAAATCCTTACCCAAATAACTGCCAAAACCATCTTTTGTTCCAATTATTGAAAGAAATTATTAACTCTCAAAGATCAATCAGAATTACTAATTTCCTCGAACTGATACTTCTTTAGATTCTTGTGATGAAATGGAAATTTATGGTGTTTATGATTTAAATTAGTAGAACAATAAGAAAATTAAATTCAACAAACATCTTAGTGTTTTAGATGTCTAAATTCCTATATAGAAGAGAAGACTTAAAACATAACATGAGGACAATAATTAAAAACCAATAAATTTATCTCTTAATATTCAACGAATAAAGACAGAGGTTTCTTAAGATAATATCTCAATTAAATTGCCTTCACTTAAATTTAGATCTAAAAAAAATGTATTACAACTAAGATCAATTTCAAATACAATATGTCATCAGTGAATATAATAATAATTTAAATATAATTATCAAACTATTATTGTTCTTCATTTCTTCAGCCCAAGATTTTTATTGTAAAAAACATAACAAAATTTATTGAATACCTTTTATTTATTAACTAAATTTTAATTTTAGTTACATCAATATTATAATCAAATGAATTCTATACAAACATTATCTATATGTGTATTGTTATTGTAAAAAAATTATATATCACTTTCATCATTTATTGATATTATATATTCATTTGTAAATATAAATATAAAAAATCATGAGAAAGTAGTATCGAAATTATCATTAATAAGAATACTTCTATATACTCCAAATATCATATGTAATTAATTCTGATTATTTAAATTATGTGCTTGAAAGTCATAATATCAATTTTTATAAAATGGGTATTTTAAATAATTTTAATAATAATGTCTGAATATCATGATGAATTTCAAGAAGATCAATAAAAATTAAATGCCTTAAATCTGTCTTGGACATTGGGGTTTAATTATAAAATGGTAAATGGAGTTCACAACCTCACTAATGATTCTCGTAAGGTATGATCAATTTGAATTTAGGAAATATTTTATGCAACAGCACACACAGGAGTGATATTTGATTATGGGAATAATTAATAAAGATTATTATAAGGACATGTATATTATTATGTGATTTATAGTGTAACAAAATTTCATGCACTGCATATTGCAAAGAATTAGACATAATTGTAACTGCTGATGCAGGGCCTGACAGTATGTTAGTCATATGGGATGCAAAGACAGGAGTACCTAGAAGAACGATATTTGAACCACATGCTAATGGTGTTTAAGCAGTGGATATTAGTGAAAATGGACAATATTTGGTAACATTGTCAAAAGAAGAACCTGATAAAATATAATCTATATCATTTTGGGATTGGTAATCTCAAGATCCTCGTCTAAGAACAACAGTGTTAGATGATAAATTAAAGGATTATTAATACTATGTTACAATTAATAATAATGCTGAACAAAAGTAAAATCAGCAATAAATATTTGAATTTGCAACAACAGGTAAAAAGAGAGTAGTTTTTTGGAGTTGGGAATATGGAGCAGCAGGATTTGAATATTATAGTCCTGAAGTTCAAAAAAACAAGGTTTTGACTTAGACTGTATTTATTCCAAAAAACAAGAATGTTGTAACAGGAACATTAGATGGATATATTATAGTTTGGGATGTTTCTCTTATTATTGAAGAATATGGATAACCAGATGAAAGAAGAGTAATAAAAATAGTGAATCTTATGAATGTTGCTAATAAATCTGAAACTTAATAAAAGAAGGGAAATGCTTAGATATTATTATTAAGAGTATAAGGAAGATATTTAGTGGTTGGAGCATCAAATGGATCTGTAAGATTTTATGATTTCAAATTCAGAATACGAGCATGGTTTGAAGATGTTGTTATTGGATAAAATGGTTTAAATATATAATGTATAGGATCAATAACTAATTTATCATTTGCAAATGAGAATATGTTTTAGGAGGATTTTGAAACTGAATCTGATGAGGAGAAAGACAAAGATGAATAATCTTAGAAAAAGTCTAAACCATTTGTATGTTAAGATTTTATTGTTGTTGATGATAAGGCTAATGTTATTTTATTAAAGTCATCACAATTTTAGGAAATTGAAAAAGAAAAAAAGAAAGGAACAGTAATTATGTCATCTATTGTTTCACCCATTATTTCCATATCAGTTAGACCTAATGTACCTGTAGTTGCATTTAGTTGTGAAGATAATAAAATTTATGAATGGAATTTCTATGAAAAACATAATAAACTTAAAGAAATAAAAGAAAAGGGTAGTGAATTACAAATATAAAGTACATTTATTGAATATAGTCCTGATGGTAATTATTTAGCTGTCTGTTCTAAAAATGGAATTGTTCATATGTATGATTGTAGAGAAGAGAAATGGCTTAAAAATTTATTAGTTTCTGAAACTGATAAAACTAAACCTAAAATAACATATTTAACATTTAGTATTGATTCAAAATATTTTGCTACTATTGATGAATCTTATGCAGTTAGTGTTTTTAATTTTGATTTTGATCCTAATAGTCAATTGAAATAATCAAAAGAATGGATATTTGCTGGTAAATATAGAGTACATCATGGACCAATTAAATCAGTTGCCTTTGGTGAAACACTTGATGAAAAGAATTAAGTGTAATTAAAAGTGTTCACTATAGGAGAAGATATGAAATTGGCAGTTTATGATGTATTGGATCCAACTTAAGATCCATATAATAGAGTTAAATTAAGAAGTGTTGTCTCTATTGAATAAGAATGTTTACCATCAGCATGTATTTGGTATCCAATCAATTTATAAAGAGAAGATGTTTTATTAACAACAAATAGTGAATTTAAATTAAAATTATGGACAGTTTTAAAAGATCTTCGTATTATCTGTAAAAAGACTTGTTTAGGTCCAACTTTTGGTGGACATATAAAGAGATTATTATTATTAAATCCAAGTGATATGAAAAATGAATATTAAGATAAATATTTAGCATATTCTACAGGTGAAAAGGTTGTTGGTATAATTAAATTACCTTTAGATGGTAATCCTAATAAAACTATGGGTTTGATTGCACATCCTGAGAAAATTGTTGATTTATCATCAACTTAAGATGGTAAATTATTTTTTACATCTGGTGGTGATGATTTTGCAATTAATATTTGGAGTGTTGATTTTGCTGCTTTAGAAGATAATTTTTAAACATAAGAAACAGAATATGAAATATTTTCAAATTTATTAGATGGAGGACCTGAAGGATAAACATTAAGAGATTTAAAAGACTTCTTTTATTATAGTCAAATTAGATCAAAAGATGAACATACAACTAAAGCTAGAAAATTAGATGGTCTAGTTCCATTAACTGCTATTGCTGATATGATGAGATC